GGTTTTGCGTTTTTATACATTTGAAATAATCAATAAATCATTGTTAGACCACCATTAGAAACTTGGAAGCACTGGACGGCCGTTTCGTCCTGGTATGGGACTCATCAGTGGCAGTGCGCATCCACGACTCCTGCTCCTCGTATGACTCGAACCCGGGACCTTCGGCATTGTAGGCGAACGCCTTACCATCGGACCACTGGGCCGGCATCCAACGGTGTTAATGTCTAACTCTGATTGATCTAGGGATTTTGCGCGATCTCACCCATTTGTCTTTGGTAGTTACTGCCGGGTTCGAATCCTGCGAGGAGCAGGAATCGTGGACGCGCACTGCCACTGATGAGTCCCATACCAGGATGAAACGGTCGTCCAGTGCTTCCAGGTTTCTACTATCATTATTGTTGAAAAATTTATTGACAGTTTCAATAAACTTATCCAAAACATTATCATTTTGGATTACTTTGTAGTAATATATGCATACATGAATTCAAAGTGACATTTTGATTCCGGTGAGGCTTCCATTATGCATATTTCTTGCTGTTATTAGCTATATTACCTCATTTCGTATATTCCGATCTTAGACTTATTATAATTGCTGGGTATTATTAACCCAGTCACTTGACAACTCTACCAACCTTCTGTTCCTAAATCCATTTTCTTGGACGCCATCTGCTTACTTTTACTAGTTTTTAAATTTAGAAATGCAGAACTTTGATTCACACGCATAAAAAGCTTTTATGTGGCTGCAAAGATTGGCTACATAAACTCCTTAATATCAGACGATATAGTGGATCAAGTTAGGAAAGCCATCTTCAAACTTGATTCAGATACACCGTACAACACCTTTAAAACAGAGGTGATAAGAGTTGCATCCCTGACGGACCAACAAAACATCGACCGATTCTCAGCCCATGTGCAGTTAAGTCACAGCACACCATCATAACTAAAATGGGACATGATATATATGGGGAAACTGTATGGCATACAAACGCCTATTATGTAAGCTATTGCTCAAACGCCTACTTCAGAACATTCAGCAAATTTCGGTGATTGGGGACGAATAAGTTGATTTCTACAGACTAACAGACACAGATGATAAAGTATACGAACAAACTAAGACATTAAGTAGCGCGCATACACACTGACTCAACTGACGAAATCGCCGTTACGTTAGACTGTTGATGACCTTATCAACGAAGCTTTCCAGCTCCGATTGAAAAATATACTTCACTTTAAAGGCAGACAGAGGGTGTTTGAATGAATGTTTGAGAAGACTCATTCAAGAGACGAAAAGATCGACGATTAATGACGGCTACAATCGCTCGCCACAACTTGTAAGACAATCAGTTATCTGTTTTAAGTTACAGATAAGAGGACTAGAATAGTTTCTGGTTGACATTAAGGCAGAGGCCAGTGTATTACCACCTACTAAACTTGAGAAAAACCCACCTCAACATAAGTGCAATTCGCAAACAAGTTGAGATTAAGACATACAGCGAAAGGCAGCTACAATTATATTTTGGCACCAAATCCAATTTTTTATGGAACTTCATCGTAACTGACTTTTTAATCCCTATAATTGGTTTCGATTTTATGCAAAAACCCATAAATACTTATGGACGTTAAAAACTAGAAACTTATATTTACCGACCATGAGAGTGAAATTAAAGGACGTGTCTAACGAAACCTCCATACACTTACCAACCGAACCACACCAAGAAACTTATAAATATAGATTAATTGTCCAATCAGTTTCCTGATTTATTACAATCAACACAATGACAGACAGTTTTGGCTCAACTAAGATGTTTTTCACCAGCAAAGAAGTCAACAAGGTGATGGTGGGCATCATACGTTCCTTTGATAATCCATTAGCTTCACCGCTCCATATGGTACCCAAGAACTCTTCTGATGTTAGACCTTGCAGTGACTATGGAACACTCAACAGCCGAACGATACCAGATAGATATCCCCTTCTACTCTTACATGATTTCAAACACAGTCTGTCTGATGTAACGATCTTTAGACAGCTTGACGTCGTCCGTGTATATCTTTATATCTCTACTTTTTCACTGATGCCCATTCGGTTCATTAAAGCTAAACATACTCCGTTATCTGGTTTTCGTTATTATCAAGTAATTATAATTTCTTATTTTCGTTAAAGTGACCCGATGCCTTTGATAAGTTTCGAAAGTATTTAAATTTGAACCTATTACCTATGTATATATTACTTTAGAATGACAAGTATGTTGTGATCTAAGAGTTGAATAATTTCATCTGAGAGCCTTTCATTGTTTCTCCAAATAATCCTGCCTTAAAGAATACCTATAGAGGACGTTGGATCCCCAGAACTCACTTGGAAAAGGTCCTAATTTTGTAATTTTGAGTTTTCGTCCCAAATCCGCCCATTCTGACCTTGAGCTTGCATATCTCACTCGGGAAATCACTGACTGACATTGGTTGATGGATTACTTTAATACGCCATTTTATGGCTCTCATCAAGGACGGTTTATCGTTGTAGAAATAAGTTTGAGTTGTGTGCTTGTTGACCTCGTACTTTTTGAACTGACAATTGCTTCTCTGTGCTAATGTGGTATGGCAACCTGAACTGATGTACTTACGTACGAAGTTCTGAGTTGTAACTGACTGACTGACTATTTGACTAGCTTTATCGATAAACAGTTTAAATAACTCGATTGGATTCAAGCTGGCAATTGCGTCTCTGTGCTGATGTGGTATGGCAACCTGAAGTGATGTACTTACGTACGAAGTTCTGCGTTGTATCTGTCTGTCTGGGTCTGATCAAAACTTCTTTCTCTAGTTAGTCGGGGCCTGAGGATGATTGGATTAGAATAGCCTACCGGGTCACTAGATCACTGATCTTCGTTTCGTTTACCGAATAAGATGAACCCGTAATTGTTTAAGCATTTCAACACCATCTATTTCGTTTTGTCGTTTATTAAACATAATCGGCGAAAAAAATACAAAATACAATAAATACACACACATATATCATTTGTTCTTGACAATCCAACAAATAAGCAAACTACCCTCTCATTATATACACTTACTTACTTACTTACTTACTTAAACTGGTCATGACAGAAATCCAACATTGTAGTTATGAAACAAACGAAACCAAGAAAAAGAAAAACGATGCACAATAAGAATCTAAGAAGAAACACAACTTGTTGCCCCTTTTTTCTTCTTCTTCTTAATTAAATTAAGAACAAATTTACAAACATGAACAAACAATAAAATTAATTAGTACTCATATGTATGTTTTTATATATAAATAGGGATATATGTGTGTTCTTCAACTCTAGGCATAATAGATATTACTTACTACAGAACTAGCGATGAGAAATATGTCAGTCAGCCAGTTGCAACGTAGAACTTAGTACGTATGTACATAAGTTCAGGTTGCCATACCACATTAGCACAGAGACGCAAATGTCAAATCAAATCCCATAGTGATAAAGATAGTAGAGGTATTAATGGTAATGAAGAAGACTAAAGGGTTTGAAGATATTATTCAAGAAGTATAATTCAGTGAGATAAGGTAGAGGTGTTGACGATTCCAGAAGATTAGGATTTGAGAGAGCACAACGAATGGATGCACTTGAGCCATTGCAAACGATTCTGAGCCATGTCGTTCAAGTTCTCTAACCATTTGTGACTACCGTTTCGCTAACCCCAACCAGGTAGTCTACATCTACCAACATGACTCAGTCCGCTTGTCAGTGACTTCATGCATTCCTGCCATGTTTTGGTCTGGCCGCCCCTAGCTTTCATCCAACCTACTCCTACACTTATTAGAAATAAGTGTTTCTATATATATATATATAAGTGATGTACATCTGCGATCAGTAATATTGTAGACATTCATTGACATGATAAAAAATAACTGTATAACAATACTACTTATTTACTGATAATATGAGTAGTAGTAATCATAACAACAACAACAACAAAAACTTTGATATTCATTATTATTATTAATAATAATAACAGAATAGATCACATTCAAGCATAAATGATGTGCGAATGATTTTACATGTTGGCATTCATTGTTCAACAAATGAATGAATAAATGATACGAGGTAATCAATCTCATGCAAATGAAATTATACACATGAAAAGATATTTGGTCAAAAAAAAAACAAGAATATGTAGTTCTACACATACAGACAAACACACAAGACAATTAATAATAATAATGATAATAATAATTTATTAATTATTAAATTTATGCAAAATAATTAATTACATACGTTTACATAAGTACGAAGGAGAGGTGGGGGAGGAGCCGGCGAGCCTCCTCAAGAAAAGGAGGAGAGAGTGAGAGAGACAATAATAAAACCAACAACAAAAAAAGAACAAATTATCATTATTATTATTATTATTATTACCAATATTTGAATCAAGACACAAAAATATATGTACAATTTTGGAAAGAAAAAACAAAACTTGTCGTTTTATCTGTCCGACTGAATGAATGAATAAAACAATACATTAGTTGAATGACAGACAAGTCATATATTGTAGCTTATTTGTTTTAGTTTAACGTTCATGTTTTTCGTTTTAAAAAAAAACAGAAAATAATTATAAATAATAATAATTATTATAAATAATAGTAATAATAATATTATTACTCATATCAATTAGTGTGATAGCAGGGATGCAAAGTAAAAAGCACCATCACCTAATAAAACATACACATACACATACACACACACACACAAGGAAAAGATCATTTTTTGGTTCGGGGAGAGAACAAAACTTAAAAAGAACAACAATACACATTGTAATAATAACAATTCATTATTATTATTATTATTATTATTATTACTGAATATATCAATGGAGGTACATGTAGTTTGTTTGTTTGTTCGTTTGTGTTTGTTTTATGAGCCTGCTATTTTGATTGGACATTGAACATTGAATATTGAACATTGAACAAACAAACAAACAAATAAACCAATGAAAAAGAATCTGTAAATTTATTTAATACATTTACTATTATTACTGTTGTTAACAATCACATGTTTATTATGATTTAACAAATCCAATGGATTATAATCACCAAAATAGCCAATGGTCGTTGTTGTAGTAGTTTTGTCAACCAATGAATTATTAGTATTTTGGACAGATTTATTATGATCAGTATTATTCGTCACTGGATGATTGGAATTGGTCGCAGCAATAGAATTACAACAACCATTCAACATGTTCAATGATGATGATGATGATGTTGTTTCATTTGACGACAGATGACAATCTCCATTTAATAATAATGATTGTGTACATTTATTGGGATGATTTAGTTTTGTTTGAATTGACTGATTCGCATGTTGTTGTTGATTGTACACGTCAATATGATTGTTATTACCATTGGATAAGTTAGAATCTATGGAGAAATTTGACCAGTCCGTTTCGTTATCCATTTTATTATCCCAATGATGATTCTTCATTAAATGAGATTGATGATTATTGGACCAATTCAAATGGTTCGAGATATTTTCATCATCTGAATGACAATCACCATTAGCCAAATTTTTTTGAATTTGGTCCTGTTTTGTTTTGATGAGAAAAGGTTAGAGAAAGCAATGAATAACAATACATACAAACATGTAAAACTGTTATCAGTCAGTCAGTTGCAACGTAGAACTTCGTACGTAAGTACATCAGTTCATGTCGCCAACCACATCAGCACAGAGATATAATTGTCAATTCAAATCCAATAGTAGAAGAGGTAGTAAGGGAATTAGAAGTAATCGGAGAGGTTAGGATTAGAAGATACTATTCAAGAAGTGTGATTAAATGAGAAAAGTTTAGCAAGTCAAAACTAGAGGTGTTGAAGAATTCAGAAGATTAGGATTTGAGAGAACACAGAGAATAAATGCACCGGCGCCATTGCGAACGATTTTGAGCCATGTCATTCAAGGTGTCTAACCAAAAACTGTTATACTTTACTCATAGTAAAACGCAGCTATTCCTATTGCTTAGTATTCTCTGACAACAATACACTCGACAAGTCCCAAATCAGGACACGGTTGAAAAGGGAAGAGAATATATTCCAAATAGAATGGTAAATGTAAATAAGAAGCCGACACGAAAGCAAAATAGGAACAATGTTAGTATATTTATAGTTTTTACATGAGAAGCTTCTCGAATGTACTCCAAGTATCGACTGGCGCTGATTGGATAGGAATTAGCCAATCAGCGCGCAGCTAACGCAGTCATGCTTTAATGCATTTACGTCTTGCTAACCAAAAAAACAGTGTAGGTTAAACACTGTCTCCGCCAAACTTGAAGCTTCAAGCTACCATCCCTGAAGTTGTTGTGCATACACACTAAGACGAAACAACTGTCTAGTGAAATCTAATTTTGTTTAAAGTCAGTTCATAAGATAAACTATATGCTTATTTATTGAACTAGAGAAGTTTACTGTGATTGGTTACAATGCGTTTAGACATAAATCAGTATACATATATAAAAGTAGGCAATAACCCAGAGATAGATTCATTCAAAAACAGTCATTTACACTTTATTGAAGTGTTTTGCATTCTATGAGCTGAAGTACTTAATTATGTAGTTTTCACTGTCTTATTACACAACACTATAGAGAATATAACACTGCGGAAATGCTTACTTCGAGTTACAAATCTTTGCTTTTGTGTAACAGTAATAGTGTATAAGTTATTTGTGTTACAACGATCGCTTTTTCAAAACAAATAGACATATCATATACACGAAAAAATCTCTCAAATATTACAGGTACACTTTGTCGACGAATGCCGAATAACGTTCGATAGAAATTCTTTACTCAAATAATTTGTCAGTCAGTCAGTTACAACGTAGAACTTCGTACATAAGTACATCATTTTCAGGCTGCCATACTACATTAGCACACAGATGCAACTGTCAATTCAAATCCCATAGTTGTGGAGATACTAGAAGTATAACTGCTAATGAAGAAGATTAGGATTTGAAGATAATATTCAAGTATAATTCAGTGAGATAAGTTTAAAAAGACGAAGGTAGAGGTGTTGAAGAATCCAGTAGATTAGAATTTGAGAGAACACAACGAATGGATGCGTCTGCACCGTTGCAAAAGCTTTTGAGCCATGTTATTCAAGGTCTCTAACCATCGATTACTATCATCTCACGGACCCCAACCAGGTAGTCGACAGTTACCGACATGGCTAAGCCCACTCGTCAGTGACTTCATAGATTTCTGCCAAGTTTTGGTTTGGCCACCCCTAGCTATCTTTAAACCTACTCCTACACTACAAAACAAAGCTCTTCGAGACAGTCGTTGGTTAGGCATACGTAACACATGTCCCAAACCACCTCAACTGAAGTTTCACTACTTCATTAAATAATTTACCGATACTCGATCAAAAATTTACTACCACTGGTTTTTAGGTTGAAAGTAGGAAGAACAATACTCAGTAAAGCTTGAGATAGTGGAAAAAATTTGTGGTAGTTCAAATGGATGATTTCAGTGGAATTTTATTCACAGAACACGATGGGTTGAATTGGAAAGCTTTCATTGTTCTGTTGAAAAAACAGTAACATTTGTACAAATGTAAAGTAGAAGTGACATATTCACATAGGACACCGAAATTTCAGGCAGAAATAATGCTAGAGAGAGAGAGAATTTTTTCAGACATTGGTCACTTCATCTTATCAACAATCAATAAACGCATCGACGTTAACCCATTTTCACAATCAATCAAATCAAATCAATCAGAAAATTCATAGAAAACTATCAAAATCAACAATCAGGTCACACAAAAAAAATGAATGACAGTCAAAATAAATATGCAGACAACAACAACAATAACAACGGCAAATAACCAATCAGAATGAAAAAGTTGAAAGTACAAGTTGTCAGTTTATCTGTGCAGAAATTGGAATACCTAACTTCTGAGTTTAAAAATAAAGTTTACGTTCAGCATATTGTTCAGAAGAAAATTGAAAGTTTCACAAGTAAACTACCGGACTAAGAGAACAAACTTTCGTCAAAATAAAACCTGCAATAGTTGTTGTTGTTGTTGCGATCTTTTTTCTACATATGTTCACTTTCTTCCCCCGCAAAAAAAAACAGACCAATCATCATATAACCATCAAAAGACAAAGTAAACAAAATCAATTACTTACTTGTTCATCAGTTTCCATCGACTTAGGAGGAGGAGATGATTGTTGTTGTTGCTGTTGTGATGGTGTTGGTGGTGGTGAAGGTGGTTGATGTTCATCGATAGGCGTTGACGAAGTTGACGAACTTTTACGTGATAATTGATCCGAAGAACTATGGTCAGATAAATCATCAATTTGATTGTCATCAATATGATTATTATTATTATTATTACTATTATCATTATCATCAGTATTATTATTTACCGATAATGATGAATAAGTCGGTTGACATACAGAGATTGTTGGACCACCACCATAAATATTAAATAAAAGACTCCATACTTCAGATGATATACATTCATAATTACCAAGTGGAATTGTTAATGATCGTCGATTGGAACAATTCATTGATCCATTATGAGGATAAGAATAAAGAGATTTATTATTACTGCATGGCATAATATCAGAATTGTCAATTGGACCAGGAGCTTCTGTAATAACAAAAAGAAAGGAGGAGGAGGAATATAAGTACATACGCTCGGGGATACTGTGTAAACAAGTCAAAACATGTTACAGTAATGTTGAACGTTATAGAATAATTATACTAATAGAATTCGTGAGTAATATATATATACAACAGATCTACTGATGTAGACAAAAATGATAAAACAAACTCGTTGTCAATAGTGACAATTGATCAAAGATGAACAGCTTGTTAAATTGAATGTTTGAACATTCAGTGAATTATTTTAGATGAGTTTCAGTCAGTCAGTCAGTTGTAACGTAGAACTTTGTACGTAAGTACATCAGTTCATGTCGCCATACCTTATCAGTACAGAGATATAATTTTCAATTCAAATCCAATAGTAGAAGAGGTAGTAAAGAAATTAGGAGTAATTGGAGAGGTTAGGATGAGAAGATATTATTCAAGAAGTATGATTCAGTGAGAAAAGTTTAGAAAGTAAAAACTAGGAGCGTTGAAGAATCCACAAGATTAGGATTTGAGAGAACACAAAGAATAAATGCACTGGCGCCATTGCGAACGATTTTGAGCCATGTCATTCAAGGTCTCTAACCATCGATTATTATCATCTCGCCGACCCCAACCAGGTAGTCGACAATTACCGACATGGCTAAGTCCACTCGTCAATGACTTCATGGATTTCTGCCATGTTTTAGTTTGGCCGCCCCTAACTTTCTTCCAACCTATTCCTACACTACAAATGACGAGTTTGAAAGTGTACTACAAAAAAATATTACATCACGCAAACACGTATACGAGAGAGTATATTTGCTGAAATAATTTTTTTTGAAAATTCTATGATGTATGATTATTGACCATTTAACAATATGGCCAATAAGATGAAAAAGGCGTCAAGTTTAGCATGGTACTCGATAATCATGCGAATATTTTTTTGGTTTCAGATTTTAGAACAGTTCAATTGATTGGTATTTGTCTGTGTTAATGGAGAAGATCAACAGCAGAAATAAAAATTCAAGGAGAGTAGTGCAACAGAAGACAATTAACTAAAGTCATAGAAAGATAGACAGAATTTATGAACATAAATAATGTAGTAGCAATCATAGAAAGAAAAACATCAACATGAGAAAATTGTATTAAAAGACAATATGGGAAAAAAGTATGTATGAATTAAAGGAAACTCGAGGTCAAAGTCAAGGGGTAAAAGATAAAAAGGTTGAATGTATCGGTACCATCGTGAATAATTTTGAGTTATATTGCTTAAAATCTTTTCAATCAGTAAACGCGGCAATCATGCAGACCTTCGACAGACTGTCTGGATCTACCAACATGCCTTGAACAAACGAATGTGACAATGGAATTAAAAGGCTTACACTCAAGATTTCCATGTACGATAATGAACGAACGAAACAAGTGTACCAAAAACTCTACTTATATGCAAAAACTGATGATGAATAAGTTAAAATAACACTAACGAGAAACTTTAATTGATCACTAATACTAAAGTTTGAAATTTTGATCCAGCATTAACGATTCATTTCATGAAAAAGGGATATAAACACTTCAAACATCATTCCTAAAAGAAATTCCGGTTGCTAATTAATTACAGTTAAACAAAACAGTGAAGACAGTATCACATTGGAATTTACTTCTTCTATTTCAGGTCCAAGCTATTTAGTAATTTATGGCTATCTACTTAATGATTTTTGTTTCTCGTAAGAAACGGTTTCATTTCTGTCTTGAATAGAAACAATGGTAAATTATAAACTCTCATCACTGAGAAACTTTATATTCATCGAACAAATTACTAACTACCTGAAATGTATAGCTCAGTAATAAAACCGGTTTGGAAGTCTGAAGTAAAAGGCAGGCGGTCAGCTAAGACGTACAACTGTGTACATAGGTACATCAGTTCAGGTTGCTAGACTACATTAGCACACAGAAATCCAACTGTCAGTTTAAATCTCACGATATTATCGGTAATAGAAGTATTAGCTGAAATGGAGAAGATTAGGGTTTGCAGATATATCAAATGAAACAAATTCAGAAGGAGAAAAAAAAGTCATGATATATTCACAAGATTAGAATTTGAGAAAGAAGGCAGTGAATTTTAACTTTGATGTGAAAAACATGGACACTGTAATACAGATACATTCAACTGATGTGTTCTCAATAAGACATCATGTGGTTCCCGGACTTCATTGCTAGCCACATATTGAATTCATATATGGCACAACAAGGACTAATCAATATCAGTTGCGTATAAAAACAACAACGAGAAATTGTAATTGTGATAAATTGTTAATTGTGAGAAATATTGAATAAATAAAGAACTTTAACAAACATTATTCTCCCAGATGATTATCTCATTTGTTGAACAGATAGAATTAAACAGACTCTTTTATTATTTTGAAGAATTCGATTATACAAATCTTTTGTAAATATACATACGAGATTTGCATATTTTATGCATCGCATTGAAAGAAATGCAACTAAAACAGTTTGACTACTCACAAGTAGTATGAATATGTCATTTTAGAAAAAAAACAAATTACACGTTCATTAAAATGTAAATATGCATCTATAAAACACGTGACGAGTGATTAAATCACTGGAACATGGTGTTGATATCAATACCGATTATTAAACACTAATATACTAGTTAATTTAACAGTCCTTAAGTATCAACAAAAAAGAATTAGAATGTTTCCGATGAATACACACACACACACACACAAGCACACAAGGTTTGGAAGTAGTCACAATAATGATGGAAATTAATTTGTTTGTTTTCGGAATACGACCATACTACTAATGAAGTAAGATAGTTGACATGTGTTCGGAAATTTATTGTGTGTGTTTGCGCGCGCGTGGAATTATCAACTATTGTAAACAACGTTTCAATACAATATAACACATGATGATATACGATACATGTGTTTGAATGATTGAGCTATTATTTTTTATATAACAACACTTTGAAAAATCGTAATTGTTAGTATAAGCTCTTTATATATGAACATATGAACATATGCACTAATATTGAAATAGGTAAAAAACAAAAGCTTGGACAAACCCCTGTAATTCAGTTAATAACATACCTACCTACGACCCGAACCTGGCAATCTATCTGAGTATAATTGATAATGTTTTGATCGAATTTATACTGCGCATGACATTCATTGCTTGAATCAATATCTAATCTACATCAGACATATATACACATTATTCATACTAAGACTAGACAGTTTACACAAACAACTAAGTGATATATATATGTGTTACAAATTAGGCTCAATTGCACATTTTTCATCAAAGTTCGATGATGTCAACTAAGAAATGAGAGTTTTATTGGCCATCACAGAAAGCAGTTACTTTGTTAGCTCCGATTGGTAAAGTAGTAGCAGCTACATTGTTGGTTCAATTACCAGTGTAGTTTATCAAGTGAATAATCTTTTGAAATGACATAATCAAGGCTTTACGCATCTCAGTTATTTTTTTCAACTAACGCTACTGAATAGAATTCTTTTTAAACACCGAGATTGATTAGTTCCAAATTGTGATATAATTAAACCAGTAATCTTTAGAGCATACATCAATTAACTGAGACTAAATGTAAAATCGCTAGCGACATTTTAAACAAACTTGAATAGTTGTGAACAGTGGAATAAAGTATGTGTGTGTGTGTGTGTTATATCCTCCTGGATAAACCAGTGCCGATATTAATGGTTAGACCAGGACTCGAACACAGAAGGTTTGACCTGAAATTCTCAACGCATTATCTACCTACTTAGAGCTATGACGTAAAGATCACTGTTGGTTAATGCAACGCTGGTGAATTTGAATTCATTTGACAGTAATATTTGAATATTCCTACTACTGATAATAGGTGTAACGTCAGTAGTCCTCAACATCAACAAATGAAGTAACATGTCAAATAGTTATTTCATTATTTCAAAGATGTGAATAGGACTTTTTCTGAAATATCAACAAAAATAAATTGCATATATATATTGACAATATAATCCCCAGGTGTACCAACTACTTACCCCATATTTGGCCTTTGACAAATTGTAACCACATATCTAACCATTTTTTACTGATAGCATAAGATGTAGACGATGGAGTGATCGATGAACTAACCTATCATGAATAATAATAATTAATATTACTATTATTAGAAATAGAAAAAATGTTTCCTATTGAAAAACTAATTGAAACAAACAAAACATCAAAGTCAATTACTAATGCCGACCTTAAGGCGGCATTTACCTGGTCGATCGTGAGTTTCTGTGGTATTGTCTGTCAATAAAAGGTGTCAGTCAGATGCAACGTAGAACTTCGTACGTTCATGTTGCCATACCACATTAGCACAAAGATATGTCAATTCAAATCCAATAGTAGAAGAGGTAGTAAAGGTATTAGAAGTAATCGGAGAGGTTAGGATTAGAAGATCAGTCAATCAGTCAGTTGCAACGTAGAACTTCGTACGTAAGTACATCAGTTCATGTCGCCATACCAAATTAGCACAGAGACGCAAATGTCAAATCAAATCCCATAGTGATGAAGATAGTAGAGGTATTAATGGTAACGAAGAAAACTAGGCTGTAAAGATATTATTCAAGAAGTATAATTCATTGAGATAAGTTTAGAAAGACAAAGGTAGAAGTGTTGACGAATCCAGAAGATTAGGATTTGAGAGAACACAAAGAACGGATTCACTTGCGCCATCGCAAACGATTTTGAGTCATATCGTTCAAAGTCTCTAACCATCAGTGACTTTCGTCTCGCGGACCCCAACCAGGTAGTCTACATCTACCAACATGACTCAGTCCACTTGTCAGTGACTTCATGGATTTGTGCCACGTTTTGGTCTGACCGCCTCTAGCTTTCTTCCAAGCTACTCCTACAACACAAAACAAACCTCGTGGAAGCAGTTGGTGGTTTTGCATTCGAAACTCATATCCCAACCACCTCAACTGATGAAGTTTCAATACTTCATCTACTGATCTGCCATCCTTACCTAGCACCCGTTTCCTAACGACAGCATTGCTTACTCGGTTGTCCCACGATATACGAGCAATGCTTCTTAAACATCTATGATCGAATACTAGTAACCTACGAACATCTTCTACTCTTAACGGCCATGTTTTGCATCCATATAGGAGAACGGAGCGAACTGCTGCGCAGTACACTCGTCCTTTGGTCAGCGAACGGATATCTCGCCTACGCCATAAGTGACGCAGGTTGGCAAAAGCCAATCGAACTTTCTGTATCCGTGCTGAGATTTCGTCAGGCATCAGGCTATCAGAGCTGACGAAACTCCGAAGATAAGTGAAACGGTCGATGCGCCACACTGCTTCACTCCCTATTATTTGATCAGGTGCCGACGCAACCCAATCTTGAAGCAACATTTTGCAATTTGAGGGGTAAAACCGCTTCTCGAACATGCTTGCATTGTTGCTCAGGGTAGTCAGAAGACTGCATTTTGTCAGCGTCTTCACCAAATAGGACTATGTCATCGGCATATTCTAAGTCAATAAGCGAGCCACCTGGTAGAAGGTCTACTCCTGAAAATTCAGATGAGGATAAGGTTATATCAAGGAGCATGTCTATGATAAAATTAAACAAGAATGGAGAAAGTGAACATCCTTGACAGACACCACTTGAAGTAAAGAATTCCGATGACAGTTCGCCATAAGCTCTCACTCGACCAGTAGTGTTCGAGTAGAGAGCTTGTATGAGGTTAATGTACTTATTTGGTACACCGTTCAATGACAGACACAGCCACAGAACCTCACGGTCCACTGAGTCAAATGCCGCTATTAGGTTCAGGAACACGACTATTTTTGGACGTCTAAATGTGTGTCTGTGTTGCAGTACCTGTTTTAGTGTGAAGATATGGTCTATATACACTAAAAGGTGTACCAAAGATGTCTTCGGATCATTGCCCGTGTATATATGCTGCTCAGTAGTTCGCTCCGCTCTACTTGATGGATGCAAAATATGGTCAGTAAGAGTAGAAGATATTTGTAGGTTATTAGTATTCAAACATATATGTCTTCGAAGCATTGATCCTGATCCTGTATCCTAGTACAACCGTGTAAGCAATTCTGTCGTTAGAAAACAAGTACTAGTTAGGAATGGAAGGTCAATAGTTGAAGTGGTGAAACTTCATCAGTTGAGGTGGTTGGGACATGTGTCGCGTATGCCTAACCACCGACCTCCTCGATGAGCGATGTTTTGTGGTGTGGAAGCAACCTAGTATCGGCCAAACCTAAAAATGGAACCAATCCATGAAGTCACTGACAACCGGACGACCAGGCTCAAAATCGTTTGCAATAGCGCAAGTGCATTCACTGTTTGTGTTCTCTCAAATTCTAACCTCCAGAATTTCTCATCAACTCTATCTTTCTCTTTCTACAGTTATCTCACTGAATCATCCTTCTTGAATAATATCTTCAATCCCCAATCTTCTCCATTACCAGTAATTCTTCCACTATCTCCACCACTATAGGATTTGAACTGACAATTGCGTCTCTGTGCTAATGTGGTATGACCACTTGAACTGATGTACTTACGTACGAAGTTCTACGTTGTAACTGACTGACTGGGGGAATACTTTTCGATGAGACGTAATATAAGTAGTAAGCAACAATCGATATGAATCAATTCCTAGTTTTGTTATTAAAAAAAAGCTTGAATAAATCTACAAATGGTTCTATCTGAAATTTGTGCTGAAGATAATGTTTGTTGATCAGTAAGAGAACAATATGAAAACTCCACCACAACGAACACATACCCAAGGTCAGAGAACGAAAACTCCATCACAAATGGTTCACACTTCTTTAAGCCTCTCAGCAAAGAAGTATCACTCTCTGTGCTAAATAAATGGTTTAGTCAACACTTTGAATATAAACTTTTAACTGACAACTTGTACTATTAACCTTAATTCTGATTGGTTGTTACCGTTGTTGTTATTTTTTATCGTTCACCTGTTGTGTGTGTCTGCACATTTATTTATTTTGACTGTCACTCTTGGGTTTGACCTGATTGTCTATGAATTATCTGATTGACGACTGATTGATTTGATTTGATTGATTTAATTGTGAAAATGGGTTCACTTCGATGCGTTTATTGATTGTTGTTGATAGTATGATGAATGGATGGATTGGCGAGTGTGTGTATTATATCTCTATATGAAATTTCAACCTTTTTTTTAAATTGACCTTCCATCTACACTTGTCTATAGTTGTGCATTTATATATATATACACAAAGATTAATATCAATGACGCTTGACAGGCTAGATGAGATTCAAGCAAGCGAAGATGAAAAATGATTTTTTTTAAAAATGTTGAGAAAAAAAAATCCGAATACTTGATAATAAATAATTGGCTATGAAATGCCCAAAATAAGACAGAGAGCGGATTGACTCCAGCTCTTCTCCTTGAAATGTTTTGATATAACTACGAATTATGTAGTCAATGCCAAGGGAGTCCTACTTACTGCTTTCTTAAAATTGAGAGGACGAAAAGTGAATATGCAGCGCCTAAACCAGGTTGGTAAGTACGGAGGATACATTTAGGAGAAACGGACGATCCTGATTACAATTTAATGGTACACATAGGCTAAAGAATCCTGAGTGTGTCAGTCAGTCAATTACAACGTAGAACTTCGTACGTACGTACATCAGTTCAAGTTGCCATACCACATTAGCACAGAGATGCAATTGTCACTTCAAATCCCATAGTGGTAGAGGTAGTAGAAGTATTAACAGTAATCGGAGAGATTATGGTTAGAAGATATTATTCAAGAAGTAGAATCTAGTAAAGCAGTATCAGGGCTTCCAGATACACGAATAGTAGATCGAGCTGGTTCTTTATTTTGACATGGTGAGGTTGAATGTATGACACTACTCAAATCCTATATGCGCGTTTCGGAGACTCAGAGTACATCGATGTCACTGGATTCCAAAGTCTTAGCTAAAGGAAGCCTGTTGTCCTATTAGACACAATGTCCGGATATTAAAAGCTTTAACATGCAGTTTAGAACGAGTTTTCAGGAGACCAAGAATAACCTTTCGTGAACTAGAATCGTTAATCCTGAGAGTAAAAATGGCGTGTGATTTTGACATATCTGTCTTTGAAAAATATCAGTTATATTTAAGACTAGATATATAATTTAAATTATATTAAACTAAATTCCAGAAGTGAATACAATCTCAATTCAAAACATTTGTAGTGATGATAAGTGTTAGGATAATCAGCCAATAACCAAAGAGAATAATTTGTAAGTCTAATCCGATTGGTCAGTTCCTATTGGTTAATTCTTATTGGTCGTCCTAACTATCAATGTCACATTCTTCAAATGTAGTTTCCTATTGGTCGCCTTAACTATCAATGTCACAAACTTCAGTGCTGTATCCTATTCGACTTAACTGTACAAATATGCATTACCTGTAACGTTTTATGACCCGGATTCTTAGTCCGGGATCTTTTTATTCTTCTGAGCTCGGACCTCTTACTTTCTGGATGCTTGTAGAATACAGGTTCCACTTCATATCAAGTCTTCTGTTTAACCGGGGACTGGGACGCTCGGATTAGAGTAGCCTGTCGTGTCGTCGGATCCTCGATCCTCGCTCTCGTTTTAACGATTAAGATGAACTCGTAATAGTTCAAACATATCAAATGACGTGGTCACGTGCATGTGTAACAATACGTTAACTAACTTCCAATTCATGTATAAAATTAAGTTGGAATCATTGTAAACCTAGGTTTGATGTTATTATTTTTGGGATACAAGCAAAAGAGAACACGATTGGTTGAATAATACAAACATGCATTATTATGTTAACCCAATTGTACCAGTGATGGTACTGGTACTGTACTTTTTGTCTATTACACTTTTGTACGCGTAAACTTTCTGTTTGTGTTGTTGCCACTGTTTGCTCTACAAGCTGAGTAAATTCGCCCATCTTTCCAGACTCGATTTCGGTCTTCTTTCGATACTACGAAATCACCAGCAAATATATACTTTACCATGAACTTATTTATCTTCTCAATGACGGGTTCGTAATTAGTATTTAGTGGCGATCATAGTCAATCTCGACTCGATCATCACAAAAAACTTATGACGCGTTGCACTTGGAAATCTATTCTCAACATACACGAATCAACCGGAGAGAAAAAACGTAATTATTTCGATTACAATTAGATACTAATCGTTTAGTTAGTGCTTCTAAAACAATATGATGAAAATACGGTGTACCATTGATTGTTGTTGGAATAGTTAAATCCCCAGAACCGCTCGATAAATGTCTATTTTGGATTTTATTCATAGGCTTATCAGTTGAACTTGAGATCACAGTTCCCCACCAGGAAAAGCCTAAGCAGTGATTGGTTACTGTGACAATTGTAATCAAGATGGAATAATTTTCATTTCAGTTTGGAAAGCGTATAATACTGAATTAGTAAGTAGTAATAAATAGTAATCGAGTATACGGAGAAATTAGGAAAATCATTTAAGTTTTTATCAGTAATAGTGTTTATATTTTTTTTGTTTACAATCAGACTTACCCTCATAATTTCTGATAATTCATATTTCTGTCGTTTAGAAATAACATCAGAACAATTATCACACGGGATTAATTCACGAATAATTTCATGACCACCGAATCTATAAATTTTGAAAAAGCAAAAAAAAACAGTAAAAATGATCGAAGTGACATCATACAAGACGTACAATTTATCAGGATATAACAAATAATAGTTCATCTCTACTGAAAAAAAGTATTGTTTGTAACTGCACAGATGCATCCCATTCTTTGTGTTCTTTCAAATGCTAATCTTCTGAATTCCTCATCAGCTTTATCTTCCTCGTCTAAAATCTATTTCATTGAATTATACTTCTTTAGTAATATCTCCTAACCCTGATCTTCTCCATTACTGTTAATACTACTTTGAAGAGACAATTGTGTCTGTTCTAATGTGGTATGGCGACTCGGACTTGGTACGTACGAATTCCTACGTCGTAGCTGACTGATTAACTGAAACAATTATCCATTCCGATAGCGCATATATATATATATATATCAGATCTGAGGGAGAAGTCGTACTGCTGACTGTAGAGAGGTGTGACAGCAGTAAGGTGTTTCCCTCGTACAACCAGAATCTGCAGCTACGCTGCCTTCTCACAAGGAACGAGGGGGTTAGAAAAGGTCAACCCTAAAAATATCACACCTCACCCTATCCCCACGGATTTCCGTCTCTGGCGGTAAGGCCTTTTAAACAAGAGCGGAGCTAGCACTTTAAATACTACCTATACAAAGGCCGTGCATGACCAGCCTCAAGCAGTTGTCCCTTGGTCCCTGCGGTCACGCTCCCTGGTCTGTAAGACCAACAGTAATCTACCTTCCTTTTAAGGTTCTTCAGTCGGGAAGTGACAACCGCCCTTATACCCGTAACAGCACGAGAGATCAAATCGGTCACAAACAAAGCCTTCCTATACCCCCTAACAATATATTTAAATTTTTGTTACGGTTAATCAGAGACAGCTTAAAATCTAACAACAACAGAACAGTAAAAAAGGAAATCAACAAAAGAAAAGCCAAGACGAAATCAATCATTTTAATCAATACACGAGAAATAATTGAGAAAGAGGAAACTAAACGACATTGATGGATGGACCAATTTAGGATCAATATTTTCAGAACAATGACAACCATTGAATAAAAATACAGCGATATAGTCTATATCAACCCTCTATAAGATGATAACACGTTTTAATTTGCTCAGTGCGAGATATTTTTTTCAACACATTCCTCTCTTTGATCTAAAATTAAAGCATTGTTGTAATTGGTAGACTAGACAAACATAAATACATGTCTAAAACGACAAAGTCAATGAATCCAGAACAACACCAGTGCGAACCAGAGAAATAATAATTTATATAATCAGATGTCAATCAAATAGGGTAAATGAATGTTTGGAATGATTGAATTGAAGAAAAAGAAGAATCTGTACTAGATCAACGATAATCAGTTGATGCTGTTAACTCATTCAAATATAGACAGACAGATACAGAACTTTGTACGTAAGTACATCAGTTCATGTTGCCTTACCACGTCAGCACAGAGACGCAACTGTCAGTTCAAATCCAGCAATGGAGAAGATTAGGGAGCAAAGATATGATTTGAAAAGTATAATTCAGTGAGATAAATTTAGAAGGAGAAAGATAGAGATGATGCGGAATTAGAGGTTAGAATTAGAGAGAACACAAAGAGTGGATGCACCTGCGCCATTGCAAACGATTTTGAGCTGTGTCGTTCAAGGTCTCTAACTATTGGTGACTATCGTCTGGCGGACACCAACCATTCAAATATAGCTTTCACAGATAGATTTTCGTTGATCAAAACAACGATTAGTCCTTGTACATATCAATGAGAACAAGTGATTGTTGATGAACAGCACACACACACACATACACAAACAGGTAAAATACAATTACAAGCATAGAATCTGGAGATAGATGATACTATAAGCATACGAAAGAGATTTTATGACAACTAGAAATATGAATTATCATATTATACTTGTAAAATACATGAAATAAAAAAGTAAATAATGTGTGAAAATTCCATTGCTCACTGATAAGGATTAAACAGATTGATGAACAAACAATATGGATTCATGTTGTAATATATGGTTTAGGGTTAGGTACCGAATTCCTAGTTGAGGTTTATTTAATGAAACGTCTACTTTTTTTTAAAAGTGAAATAGGATTTGAGTCAACGAAGAACTTTGTGTCCTTCTAGTGTAAACCCACTACTAGTTTTCGTTTTTTTCTTTCTAAATGTTTGGATTTCCCCTTAATTCCTTTGATTTGTCACTTTTATGTGTAATTTCCTACAATCCTTGTCTTGGGAATGACGAGATCTCTTCAGTTATATGCCTAGTAAAAACTCAAATCTTAATGAACTGTCTGATTTATTGTCAATTAATCAGATCTAGGTTGGAAGAAAGCTAGAGGGGACCAAACCAAAACATGGCACAAATCCATGAAGTCAGTGATAACTGGAATGAGGCATGTTGGTAAGTGTACACTACACAGTTGGTGTCCGCGAGATGATGGCAATCGGTGGTTGAAGAACCCGAATGATATGGCTTAAAACCGTTTGCAATGGCACAGGTGCATTCATTCTTTGTGTTCTCTCAAATCCCAACCTTCGGAGTTCCACACTATCTCTATCTTTTTCTTTTTAAGTTTATTTCACTGAATCATACTTCTCAAATAATATCTTGGAACCCTAATCTTCTCCATCACCGCAAATACTTCTACTATCTTTACTGCTATAGGAATTGAACTGCCAATGGCATCTCTGTGCTAATGTGGTATGTGACAACCTAAACTTATGTATGTGTACGTACGTACGTAGGAAGTTCTACATTGTAACTGATTGACCGATTCAAATCTAACAGTTGGATAACACAAGTATTTGATGTAAATTTTATGCAAAGATTTTTGTGTGACGACTATACACTAAACATTGAAACATCATCTCCTGATCCTAACTCATTCTTATTTTTTTTCAGATTTTATTACATCAAATGAAGTTTTAATCCCAGTGTAAAGGGTGCAAGAAATTGGGGGGCAAGAAAAACAAAAAAATATACGATGCGATATATTGATATGTACTAGAATTATTATTATTATTATCATTATTATTCGTTTTCATTGTGTTATTATTATTTAGTACATAGAAATAGTGTGATATCTGGTCTCAAGTTGTATATTTCAATTTATGCTTGAATCATCAATATAATTAGTATTAATTGACGAGTAATAAGATGTAATTGATTTTGTTTAGTCATAATTATTAATAAGCCAGCGCCTTAAGAATAAAAAATGTGCAGTAGTGTATTTATTTTCTTTAAGCCAAAAAATTGTTAAGTGTAATCATATAATTTTTTTTTAAAAAAAGGAAATCCAGTACTTGTATCATTGTGTATACAGTCAACATGGCCGTTAAGAGTAGAGGATAGTCGTAGGTTACTATTCTTCGATCATAGATGTTTAAGAAGCATTGCTCGTGTATCCTGGGACAACCGAGTAAGCAATGCTGTCGTTAGGAAACGGGTTCTAGGTAAGAATGACAAATCAATAGATGAAGTATTGAAACTTCATCAGTTGAGGTGGTTGGGACATGTGTTACGTATGCCTAACCACCGACTACCTGCACGAGCGATGTTTTGTGGTGTTGGAGTGAAATGGAAGAAATTTAGGGGCCGCCAAGCTAAAACACGTCACAAACCCATGAAGTCACTGACAAGCGGATTGAGTCATGCTGATAAGTGACAGGACAACACAAGCTAATAACGTCAATGGAGACAATGTGGTTAGTTTCAATATGTAATCGATTGCATCTCGATACATATATATTCTTCACCGCCTTCATCATAACGAGTAGAGTTTATTTATGCAGTTTGACGACTTTTTATCCATGGTCAATATACAACAGTCTAACTTTTTGGTGAGGTTGTAACATTAATTATCAATGGTTCTTGTGAGGTCATCTATTTTGATTGCAAGAAAATCTTAACGTGGCTAATTTTCAAACAGGGTTACTCAATCTCACCACTCCCCTTTAACTTTGCCATTGAGGATATTCTGGAAACAGCTTTAATAAAAGTAGGTAGTAATGGTCTGGATCTTGTACTTGGAGAAAAACTTAAGTCTAGAGTTTGGAATGTTTGGCAACTTCTCTGCTTCCAAAAGAATGCTGACATCCAGTGGCCACACCAGGTGACCAGGGGGAAATGTTCCGTTAGAAATGCAGCTAAGAAAAATTTTAAGTTTTAAGAGGCTCCCATTTCCGTGAAAAGTGTAAAAGCAACACTTCAGCATGTTCACTACTGGATTTTATTGTGATTCATTCCTGATAGTCCCAAGCCACTGAATTTCCCCGTCTCTATAGAACCTCAACCAGGTATTCATGATGGACTAGCATGTGCCAATCCTGTAGGGCTTCCTTTCATGCCACGAAGTCATGCCGATGATCGTTTCTTCAATTTCTCCAAACCGTCTTAGCGTTGATAAATAACATACAGTGTAAAAGCCATTAAGATGATGTTCCTGCCATCAATACTATTGTTTCAAGATGGTAATACCAGTCAAGTTATCGTCACTGTAGCCTAACACAAGCTGACGAATCTTGGAATTACCAATATGATTTTTTATGAATTAAAATATTGATCTAGCTACTAGACGTCGGCGACCCTTGCGATACAACGGTGATCTAACAGACAGTCGCTGAACAGCCTCAACTAAAGATAAAGAACTCCTTCATATTACTAGAACAGTCCCCAGAATGTCATTGATGACAAAGCTGAGGAGAACAACCCATTGCCTGAATGAACAAAAGTGGAAAAAGTTTGTTGTATGTCATTACTGTCCGTAGTGTTTGTTTAAAAAGTTTTGAAGATGTAAACAAACTCGGGTGTACCTTACTCCAACTAGTGATCCTAGTGCTTAGTTATGTCCAACGAATCTTTTCAGATCAGTTAGTCATGTAAAATAGTACGACTTGACATATTTTTTTTTCAACCGCCAAATAGCCATGTTTAGGTTTTTTGGGTGTTCTTGTTTCATGCCTGCAGTTAACGAGATCTCAGCACAGATACAGAAGGCTCGAGTGACTTTCGCCAACTTGCGTCACTTATGGAGTAGGCGAAAATCCGTCTGCTAACCAAAGGACGAGTGTCCTGCACATCAGTTCTCTCCGTCTTACTATATAGATACAAAACATGGCCAGTCAGAGTAGAAGATATTCGTAGGTTATTAGTATTCGATTAAAGACATCTTCGAAGCATTGCTGGTGTATCGTGGGACAACCGACTAAGCAATGCCGTCGTTAGGAGACGAGTACTAAGTAGAGATGGCAAATCAATAGATGAAGTATTGAAAATTGATCAGCTGAGGTGATTAGGACATGTGTTTCGGATGCCCAGCCATCGATTGCCTCGACGAGCTATGTTTTGCAGTGTAGGAGTAGTTCGGAAGAAAGCTAGGGGTGGCCAGACCGAAATATGGCACAAATCCATGAAGTCACTGACAAGCGGAATGAGCCATGTTAATAAGTGTAGACTACCTGGTTAGGGTCCACGAGACGAAAGTCGCCGATGGTTATAGACTTGGAATAACGTGGCTTAAAATCGTTTGCTATGGCTCAAGTGCATCCATTGGCTATGTTCTCTCAAATCCTAATCTTCTGGATCCTTCAACACCTCTACCTTTGTCTTTCTAACCTTATCTCACTGAATTATAAATCTTGAATAGTATATTCGAACCATAGTCTTCTTCATTACCATTAATAGCCCTACTATCTTTATCACTATGGGATTTGATTTGACATTTGCTAATGTGGTATGGCAACATGAACTTATTATGTACATACGTACGAAGTTCTTACGTTGCAACTGACTGACTGATTGTATACAGTCAGTTTAATATTAGAACTGTTGACATACACAAATTATGATTTGGTTAAGTTTAGTATAACAAAATGAAATGAATCAGGTAAAAATATCAGAGTAATAGAAATAATAACAGTTTTAGTATTAGAAGCTGTCGTCGTAGTGAAAATTAGGCATAGAAAGTAAAAATCATAAGGAGATTTTTGGATTTGGAATCTAAGAACAAACCAAAAGTGAATGTATGTGTACTATTATGAATGGCTATGAACCACTCGTTTAAAGAAGAGATGAGTTGTTTTCAATATATATGTGTAACCTAAATACTTTTCATCTAGTACAGTAAACTCAAAAGTAGACCATATCTATTGACACGCATAGATAAATGTACTGTTAACGAATAGAGGTAATTTTGTTCAATCTGTTTTTTTTTGTAAACTAGGAAGCAATGGACAGCCAACCAGTCAGTTACAACGTAGAACTTTGTAAGCAAGCCAAATCCGTGAAGCAACATTTTGCATTCCAGGAGGGAAAACCGCAACCCGAAAATTGCATTGTTGCTTAAGGTGTTCAGAAGACTGCATTTTGTCAGCGTCTCTGTTCTAATGCAATATGGCGACCTGAATCGATGTACATACGTACCAAGTACTAGTTTGTAGCGGACGGACTGACTGATATATCGAAGTTTTTATATAATAGAAACACAATAATTAACGACAGTGTATGAGGTTGCGCAATACCGTAAATTGATCGAAGTTAACCATTACCGCAGTTGGACGCCGGCTCAGCTGTACAGCGGTTAGGCGTCCGTATGCAAAACTGATAGTCCTCGGTTCGAATCCTTCGAGTGTCAGGAATCGTGGATGCGCGCTGCCACTGACGAGTCACATATCTAGGACGAAACAGCAGTCCAATGCTTCCAGGTTTATGGTCGTGGTCTAACATTAATCGATGCATGATTTTAATAAATAATTAACTGTTCAATATATAAAGTATAATTGTATATTAACTTACATTTCATATAGATTAGACCAAATACTTTCCGGAATGGATACAGTTAATGAATTACGCATACTCCATAATTCTGGTCGAAAATAACCATGTTCACAGAGAAATTCCGATGTTATTGGACCTGGTTCAGCCCATGTCCAAAACCGAACAACCCAAGGTTTACTAATATAACACATTTTACCCGGTGGTGTTAACTTTGAATAAAAATGATAATAAAAATCATAATAAAAATGCATTGATTATGAGCAGTTACACATGGTAAAAAAAAATTGAGTTACAAAAAAAGAACTTGTTATATTTTCAGAAATGTGCATGTCAATGAATTGTACGTGTATATGTACATGTACATGTATGAACTAACCCAAGCGATTTGTAAGAGTTGATTAAACCTCATCCAATTAACCACACACGGAAATATATGCATATATATATATATATATATATATATATATATATATATGAAAGAATGTGAACTGATATTTGAAATTCGAGTGTGTTTTTTTTCATGTTTATTAATTGAGTAATTGTTTAAAATAACAGTCGATTATTTATGTGTAACTAAGCAATTATCGCAACATTTTCAACAAGTAACTCAGTTGAAATATGCGTTAAACGATCAAAAAATCACCTAATCTGCAATTGCAGCTTTGTAAAAAGAGAGTGGGAAGAGTCCGCTCTACCTCGCTCGAAATGTGTTCATGAGTATATAAACACTGCCAAGGAAGTCCTACTTACCACCATCCCGTGGCGAGAGTAATGGTTACGAAGTTGAGAGGATAAAAGCGAGCATTCGGGTTCATCAAGGAAAACCCTGGTTATAAACTGCTGGTACACATGGGTTTCAGAATCCTAAGGAAAATGGAGCATAACGCTACTGTTGGTCAACCGCTACCATGAGACTGCACCACCGGACGTTGCTCGACTGCTTTGCAGATTAGACCTCTAGGTCAACAGCTCGGGATGTAGCCTATTCATATTAAATCACCTATTTCATTTTGGGCACGCAGACGGTATTGCAGCCCAAAAATAAATTTACTAACTTGTGTGGTGCATAAACATTTACGTGTCCATTTGTGTCAGTGTTCACGTGTTTAAATAAGAAAAACAAACAGTAATAACATTATCGAAAATATTCTAACTATTATAGAATAATTTTCGATTGTTTAACTTTTGTAATTAGGCACATATTCATTTGAATCCATGCAAAAATCACTTTGCGTTGATTTACTTACTGACTTACTTTTCATGAAAAATCTAGCTTATTAAGTTACATAACTTTAATCTTAACAGCCCTATTTGAGAAGAACTTTAAACTAAAGTGAATTCAATGAAGTTCATACTTGCACACTACTAACTGGAAATTTAATCAATAAATCAAGGATACACAACAAACATTCTCATAAGCATAAAATATTACTAACATAGAGAGTATTGAATTGTTAACTGATATAACCACATACAAGGCTAATTTGTTAATTGACAAGAAATAGGTGAAAAAAACAAAGCTGTTATCTCCTTTTACATACAGATGACTAGTGAATAAATGCTGATATACAACAAAGACAAGAGAAATGCTGCTGCTCGATGTTTGAAAGTCGACCCAATACTAACTTGCCTCGAATGCAGAGAAACGACATTAAAACCAATGAATGCCAGTAGTCGGAGATTCCTACCACACTTCAGATATTTATTTATATACATACAAAACCACTAATGAATGATGTTATACTCGTCGACTGATAGGCTTGAAACGATTACGAGTTCACTTTAATCAGCAAACGAGAGCGAAGATAAATAATCCAGTGACACGATAAGCTACTCTAATCCGAGTGTCACAAGGCCCCCCACCAAGTAGAGGAAGAAGTCTTGACAAGACGTAGAAAGTGTATTCTACAAGCACTCAGAAAATCGAGGTCCACAAGCATACAAATAGAGTTTATTTATACATGATAGAGACGTCCTTGAGAGGGCCACAAAAAGAGAGTACTAAAATAACACATCAACCAATGACAATCAAGGATTTTCCGAGTGAGAAATGTGGTCTCAAGGTCGAAGGATGGGTCCAAGCATAAAATTCAAAATTAGGACTTTTATCAAGCGAGTTCTGGGATCTAACATCCTCAACAAATGGAAAATCACAATTATGAGATGAATGGCCCAAAAGTGACTGTCAGTCGAGATAATTTATGGGTTCATTGAAGACTTTGTATGAAAGGAATAGATATATCTGATAATGCAGTTACTTAATAATCATTATGCAATTAGACTAGGTACACAATTACTCTGATCTTCAATCTGATATTCAAAAAAATATCATGTAGTGTAATGTAGTGTAGAGGGTACGGTGTAGTGCCATATCATAAAGGAAAAAAATAAATACCACACACACACACGCACACACAAAACACCTACTATTGACACATACTTGCCAAGAATGACGTAATGGTTCCAAATGTGTGTCACGTTTTCTGAAAGAAACAAAAACAAATGTGATTTATTTTTGAGAAATTGTATACAAATTGTCTCAGTGATAAATTTAAATCATAATTGTTAACTACATCATCATTGTAAATCAAGCAACGCTGCATAGAAATTTCGACCTAATTTGAAACTACTCAGCAGTACATTTCTACAACCACATGACAAAGGATCAAATTCAATACAGTCTTTCACGCGAACACTTAACCTATAGACCACAAAGTCAAAATTCAATGCTGCACATATCTAAATCAAGTAAATTCACGATATTTCACGACTATCGTTCAATGTCTGTAGCAGATAACTATGTCAAATGTGGCATGTTTGAAAAAACTCGGTGGAGTGCAACTATGTCGAATATGTAGGAAAATTATCCCCTGAAGAAAGTTAGGATGGTCGCAGGATATCGCGAATTAATTGAAAATAAATAAGCGCATTATTAGACCGAGAGATGATACCTCATAAGAGATACAATACAAATCCGAGGTTGTTTGAGTATTGACTATTTTAAAAACTATGGAAAATGTCAACATTTTGGTTTTACTATGAAAAGATTGACCATCAAAAACACTCTGATGAATGATAGACGGACAGACAGATACAACGCAGAACTTCGTACACAAGTACATCAGTTCAGGTTGCCATACCACGTCAGCACAGAGACGTAACTGTCAGTTCAAATCCAACAGTGATAGCGATAGTAGAATTATTAGCAGTAATGGAGAAGATTAGGGAGCGAAGATATGATTCGAGAAGTATAATTCAGTGAGATAAATTTAGAAAGAGAAAGATAGAGATTATGAGGAATTCAGAAGATTAGAATTTGAGAGAACACAAAGAGTGGATGCACTAGCGCGAATCGCAAACGATTTTGAGCCATGTCATTCAAGGTCTCTAACCATTGGTGACTTTCGTCTCGCCGACCCCAACCAGGTAGTCGACACCTACCAACATGACTCAGTCCACTTGTCTTCAGTGACTCCATGCATTTCTGTCATGTTTTGGTTTGGCCACTGCCCTAGCTTTCTTCCAACCTACTACTCTTGAGACGCTTAAATCTTCACATCAATTTTCCCCCCATTTATTATTTCTGTGCAAACTTTCTTCCCGTGTAAAATGTTCACAATAGTTATTAAGAAAAAAAAATACTACTTGACAATTCTTCCATATTTATCAATGTTTATTGGTTTATTGATTTTTTTTTATCAATATAATATAATTTATAATATGTACACTAGTTTCTAATAGTCATTATTATTATTATTATTATTGTTTACAGATGATGCAGTAAGTAATTCAAGACAAAATCTACAAAATTAATAAATACGTTGTTCATGAATTATTCTTCATTATTGAAGTAGTTTCTTTTATTTATTTATTCGAAAAAAAAATTAAATGAAAATTACTAACACAGAAACAACAATAACAACAAAAACAAGTAAAGAAAGTATCAATGACACATAACAAAACGATGATGATGATGATGATGATGATGATGACGAATTATAAAAGTGAATAAATGATGATGATGATGCAATAAAATAGTTGCTCTTTTTACATGATTTACATTGTTTATCCTTATTTTTTGTTTATTATCTATTCATATGTTCAATGGGTCAAACCAAAACATGAACACAAATCCATGAAGTCACTGACGGCAACTGGATTGAGTCATGTTGATAAGTTGCATTACGGGGTTGTGAAGATTGTTAAGTTACACATTTTTGAAACCATGAATCGATCAATCACTATTAGACCACCATTAGAAACCTGGAAGCACTGATAGACGGCCGTCTCGTCCTGGTATGGGACTCCTCAGTGGCAGTGCGCATCCACGACTCCTGCACCCCGCAGGATTCGAACCCAGGACCTTCGGTATTGTGCGCGAACGCCCTAACCGTTAGGTCACTGAGCCGGTATCCAACAGTGTTAATGTCTAACTTGAGGTTGCGCAACTCCGTGAATTTGATTCATGGTTTCAAAAATGTTGATAAGTGTTGAGACTACCGAGTTAGGGTCAGTGAGATGATAGTATTAGATGGTTAGTTGACCTTGAATGACATGGCTCAAAATCGTTTGCAATAGCTTAACCTCTATCTTTCTCTTTCTAAAGTTATCTCACTGAATTATTTTTCTTGAATCACATCCTCGAACCCTAATATTCTCCAATACCGTTATTACTTCTACTATCTCTACCATTATAGGATTTGCATTGACAATTGCGTCTCTGTGTGCTAATGTGGTATGGCAAACTGGACTTATGTACGTACGTACGAAGTTCTATGTTGTAACTGACTTGTTAACTGATGATGACAGTCATAAAAAAAGAGACATATATGGAAACCTGAACAAAGAGGAATACATGAAACTATCCTAGTTATAAACGATAGAATGAGACGACAACGACAACCATAATCGCGTAAAATATAACTATCTTGAAAATAACTGAAATCATAAATGAACCATTATTGTTTGACTACCATTAGAAACCTGAAAGCACTGGAAGGCTGTTTTGTCCTAGTATGGGACTCATCAGAAGTGCACATCCACGACTCCTCTTACTAGCAGGATTCGAACCCAGGACCTACTGTCTTGTGTCTGAACGCTTAACCTCTGTACAACTGGGCCGGCATCCAACGGCATTAATGCCTAACTCTGATCAATCTAGGGATTTCGCCCGACTTCAGCTGATTAATTTGATTACAATCTGACTAGTCGAGTAAGTTTACAACAATAATCAGAGAGAAAAAAAACACTTAAACATATTTTGGTACTTAGTAAATACAACCAAAATTATTTATTGAATTACATGAAAACAACGTAGCTACTATCATAATTTGAAGGAGAAAATGTTCTAAGCTTATGGCTAATTCTATTAACATTCAGAAAAAAAACAAATTATTCACAACTTAATTAAATTAAGATAAAACTGTCTAGTCCATTTAAAACAAAATAATAAATGATTTATTTATGTTACAAAAATAACTTAATTTTCAATGTTACACAATAGAACAGAACAGAACAGATTCAATATTTGTTTGATTGTGTTTCGAAATCTTCCCCTTTGACAGTTATTACAAAATAAAAATGGATCAGTTGTACAGATAGATTAACTTAATATAATCATTCAGTTATCATAAGCATGGTGGTAAGCAGACATGGTTGGTGGTTAGCAGCTGCTAGTAGTGAATTTTTAAGTGGAAAAATATGAACTCAATAACGAAGTGGATAATAATAATAATAATAATGAGATGGCGTTTGAAATGAACAGCACTGAGTTAGTGTCTCAAAGTGAACATTAACCCTTGGGATGCAAATACATCCAAATGGTGAATTTAGAAAGAAAAGGAACAAAACACGAATCCTGAAGTCCACTGCTAATGAGTTAATTATGGATTGATAGTTAATCAGTTACAAGGTAGAGCTTCGTACGTACGTACGTACGTCAGTTCAAGTTGCCATAGCACATTAGCACACAGAGACGCAATTTTCGATTCAACTCCCATAGTATTAGAGATTGTAGCAGTATTAGTTTGAAGATATTTTCCAAGAAGTATAATTCAGTGAGATAACTTTCGAAAGAGAAAGATAAAGATGATGAGGAATTCTGAAGATTGGAATTTGAGAGAACACAAAGAGTAAATGAACCTGTGCCATTGCAAACGGTTTTGAGCCATGTCACTCAGGGTCTCTAACCATCGATTATTATCATCACGCGAAGATATTATTACTCAAGAAGTAGAATCTAGTGAAATAAACTTAAAAAGAGAAAGACACAGGTGATGAAGAATCCAGAGGATTAGGATTTGAGAGAAGCCAAAGAATGGATGCACCTGAGCCATTGCAAACGGTAGTCATGTCATTCAAGGTTTCTAACAATCGGTTAGTATCGTGTCGCGGACCCCAACCATGTAGCCTACATCTACCAACATGACTCAGTCCACTTGTCAGTGACTTCATGGATTTGTGCAATGTTTTGGATTGGCCACCTCTAGGTTTCTTACAACTTACTCCTACACCACAAAACAGTTCGACGAGGCAGTCGGCGGTTGGGCATACATAACACACATGTTCCAACTGCTTCAACTGATGCAGTTTCAATACTTCATCTATTGATTCGCCTTCCTTACCTAATAGTCGCTTCCTAACGACTCCATTGCTTGCTCAATAGTTCTAAGATAAACGAACAATGCTTTGGAGACATTTATGGTCGAAAACTAGTAGCCTACAAATATCTTCTACTCTCACTGGCCGTGTTTCAATGCCGACTAGTAGGACAGAACGAATTGCAGGCTTCATATTATACTTATGTATAACTACCCTGTTTATTTAGATACTATTCTCCTATTACGTATATTTTAGTTGGCATCAATGATGATGATGATAACTTCATAAGAAAGTATAAATTGACCCATCCAGATTTCAGAATGATGTCTCAATGATGAAAACGTTCGATGTTTATCTTTGCAGGTTTGTAGTCTGTTTCGTTTATTTCAGTAGGAGTAAACCAAATAGTAGTATTGTTAGCTCACAGCATTAGAAGTGTGACTCGAAGTGCACTACTACACGATTCTCTTATATCTAGTTTTAAAAAAAAGGTTCGATATATTTCATTCAACGACAATCTATCTATCAAACTACAGGTATTTCATGACTAACTGCTAAGACAGTCCACTGCTACAAAACATTACAAAACAATTTGAATAACGAAGTATATAGCGATAGTGTACATTAAAAAGACTTCATATCATCAAAAAAAACAACAAAGAAACAGCAGTAGAAAACAATTATTTCCCCCACCCCACCCCCGCATAAAAATCACAATAAAGTTTATACATACACTTACTTATATACTACTAATCTAAACACACACACATTATAACCAACATTGATTTATCACTTACCGATAAAATAAAATATATGCGGAACTTTTCAATGATTCCACTTGTTCAGTATCTAATTTTCGAACATGTTCATCATTGAATTCATACCAATGCTCAGTGGATGGATTATATGCACAAGTTGTATAATGACCACCGCCACAACCACCATAATGACAAATAACACCAATTAAATCATAAGTTGTAATCTATGAAAGAATATCCATAAATTGTTGTTTGTTTTTTTAAAATAAACATTTATTCAATGCAAAACGGTATAAACAGATAACAATACAGTGAGAACTTGAGAAATACTAGTAACGCAGATTGATATTATGGAATGCATATACAGTTAAGTGGACTGAGTCATGTTGGTAGGTTTAGACTACCTGGTAAAGGGGCACACGAGATGATAGTAACTGATGGTTAGAGACGTTGAATGATATGGCTCAAAATCGTTTGCAATGGTGCAGGTGCATCCATTCTTTGGGTTCTCTTAAATCCCAACTTCCAGAGTTCCTCATCACCTTTATCTTGTTCTTTTTAAGTTTGTTTCACTAAATTGTACTTTTTGAATAATATATTCGAACCCTAATCTCTTCGGTTAAAAGCAATAAGTCAACTACCTTTACTACAGTGGGATTTGAATTACCAATTTTGTCTTTGTGCTAATGTGGTACGGTGACTTGAATGTTGTTGACTGACTGACTTCATATATATATAGTATAACCCTGTGTTATAGTTCTCTCTTAGTAAACCTAGCTATTCCTATTGCTTAGTATTCTCTGACGACAATACACTCGACAAGTCCCTAAATTAGAACACGATTGAACAGGGAAGAGATTATATTCCAAATAGCATGGTGAATGGAAGTAGCAAGCCGATGCGAAGGTGAAATAAGAACAACATTAGTATCTTTATAGTTTTTATATGAGAAGTTTCTGGAATGTACTCCAAATATCGACTGGCGCTGATTGGATAGGAATTAGCCAATCAGCGCGCAGCTAACGCAGTCATGCTTTAATCCATCTAACACTAAGTGTAACATTCTTCTCACTCCATTACATTTCAGACCGAACACTTTTACTTCGACAGGATCGATAGCAAGGATAATGCCGTAAACACAATATAGATCTAAGAGTAAAATTTAAAACAAGGTGTGTTAAAGTCAAAACGCTTAGTGTATTTTAAAGAGTCTACAAAAACTGCTTGATTATTAAGTAACCAATAACAGTCGAGTCATTAAAAAAAAGTTTGGCAAAGATATTAAATTGCAGTGAATTAATTGCATTTTCACAGCAATAATTTTTAGCACTAAACTATTTTAATTTCATTGGTGAACACGTGGTATGAAATTCCGAAAGTATGATTACTACGCATAGATGAACTAAATCTTAAAGTTTGTCAGTATCTGTCAACTATTCACAGGAGCAACAAAAGGTTCTAGGCACACACACACACACGCACACACACAAACGTGGAACCATTAAAAAGGTAATTGACATCCGGCAGTAAACAGCAAATAACCATACTAAGTTGGCAGGAACATGATTAGATGCAACTTGTGTCTGTTATATGATTGAATGGTATATTAATACATTGATAAAAGATATTATTATTATTATTATTATTATTATTATTATTATAGAGACTGATTTAGACGTGCGTTAGCCAAAATTCTCATACTACATTAGCATGAACAGATGAGAAGAAAACACAGAATGGAAAGATATTGATGAAGAGATACTGAAATTCAAGGTTCAAAGATGTGAGCGCTGCTGATTTGTATTACCCCAATGTCCCCCAACCACTATCGCAGTTATCATGCGAACTTCAATCAGATAGTTTGCACCTACCTACATAACTCAGATTAACAATCAATAACGACATACGAGTTACTTACAATTTATTGATGATCTGCCTAGATTTCTTCCAACATACTTCTACACCACAAAACATAGCTCGTCGAGGCAGTCGGTGGTTAGGCATACGTAACACATGTCCTAACCACTTCAACTGATGAAGTCTCAATACTTCATCGATTGATTTACCATCCAAAACCAGTACTCGTTTCCTAACGACAGCATGCTTACTCGGTTGTCCCAGCATATACACGAGTAATGCTACGAAGGCATCTATGATCGAATACTAATAATCTACGAATATACGCAACTGTTACCGGTCATGTTTCGCATCCATATACTAGGACGGAGTGAACTGCAACGCAGTAGACTCGTTTTTTTGGTTAGCAATGTAACATACAAGCCTCGTACAATAAATTGTAAGGTCGACTTAACAATTTATAATCGGTAACAGTGGTTGTACAAACGAAACGCTAGTCAACTTCTTACAACAAGTGAATTTAATTTTTTTTTGCTTCTAAACCTGTACTAACTAGAATAGAGTTTTTTTCCTTTTACTAATATCGTAAAATTTTATTGATAAAAAATCGTTTCAATGATTTATTGATGAGAAGGAGTGTGGTGTTTCTTTCAATATACAGCACTTCGACCCAGCAAAAATATAAACGAACCATTATTTGTTAACCAATCAAAATGGTGTGACTGTAAAAACTCTTGAAAAACAAACACTTGTTAGGATATTCATTCAATATCCTAAGAGAATTATTGGTCAATTCTTATTGGTTAATTCCTACTGGTCAATTTTATGGTCGTCCTAGATATGAATGTCACGTACTCTAATGTTGTTTCTTATTGGTTGTCCTGACTATCAATGTCACTCCAAATGTTCCGTCCTATTGGTCGTCTTAACCGTCACAGACTTCGATGCTGTTTCTCATTCGACCTAAATGCGCATTATCTGTAACGTTTTATGACTAGGACCAGGACCCGGTTCCGGGTCCCTAGTCCGGGATCCTGATTCTCTCTTCTGAATTCGGACCTCGTACTTTCTGGATGCTTGTAGAATACAGGTTCTACTTCATATGAAGTCTTGTCTTCTTTTACTCAATATGAGGGTTGGGGTAATCGGATTTGAGTAGCATGTCGTGTCGCCGGATCCTCGATCCTCGCTATCGTTTTTCGACTAGGTAAACTCGAAATAGTCCAAGCATAACAAGTTGATGTGTTTACGTGCAGGCGTAACAACTTTACATTTTGACATGAAAGCACACACTAGAGCACATAAGGTAGAGAGGTAAAACCAAAATGAGTAATTACCTTATCTGTACAATCACGATGAAGAAACGGTGAAAGATCTAAATTTTTCAATGGGAAATTTACTGGAGATGATAATTTCGATGAATACAAATGATTACTACTGAATCGTTTCAAGTGAAGTGTAAGAATTTCCGGTAAGGCGACAAGCCTAAACTGTTTTAAACCATTACACCGTCTGTAATAAAGGAAAATATTTTGAAAAGAAAATACAAAGAATGGATTTTATAATAAACTGAGCAAATAATCAATTGAATAACGTGAAAACAATAACGATAAATAAAAAAGGATAACAAAATCTACACGTAATTTACCATGGTTTGAATATACTCAGGGGAAAGTGAGGGCGAACACATATACATACAGACAGAGAAAGTGTAGCCCATAGGTGGTGAATAAATGAATAGCAATAATAATAGCTAATATCATTATTACGTTAATAAAAGAAGAATAGACTAACACCCACAACCGTGAGAAACCATAATAACAATAATTCAATACAAACGGAAGGTTAGGTGAAGATAATAGAGGCGGCCAAAGCAAAAAAATGGCAGAAGTCCATGAAATCACTGACAATTGGATTGAGTCATGTTCTGGTTAGGGTCTGCGAGATGATAGCAATCGATGGTTAGAGATCTTAGATGACATGGCTCAAAATCGTTTGCAATTGCACAGATATATTCTAGTCATCTGAACTCCTCATAACCTTCAATCTTTCTCTTTTTAAATTTACTTCACTGGATTATACTTCTTGAATAATCAATCTTCTCCGTTACTACTAATACTTCTACTATCTCTACCAGTATAGGATTTGCATCAGTCAGTCAGTTGCAACGTAGAACTTCGTACTTAAGTACATCAGTTCATGTCACCATACCACATCAGCACAGAGATGTAATTGTCAATTCAAATCCAATAGTAGAAGAGGCAGTAAAGGTATTAGAAGTAATCGGAGAGGTTAAGATTAGAAGATATTATTCAAGAAGTATGATTCAGTGAGAAAATTTTAAAAAGACAAAACTAGAGGTGTTGAAGAATCCAGAAGTTTAGGATTTGAGAGAACACAAAGAATAAATGCACCGGTTCCTCTAGAAACAACCTTCCACGGTTTGGGCAGCCGGGAAGTGACAACCGCCCTCATACCCATAACATAGGATTTGCATTAACGATTGCGTCTCTGTGTGTTAATGTGGTATGGTAACTTGAACTGATGTATGTACGTGCGAAATTCTACGTTTTAGCTTACTACTACTAATACTAAGTGAATATAATAAACATGCTCACTGTCACAATTGTAAACAGTAGTCATATACACTTTTTAACAACCTTGGTACGTGTATAAACGAAGCAGTAAAAATTAGGCCCAAAGGATGTCTTAGTCTTGTCTATCGGGATGACTATTGAAAATGTAAAGAAATCTTTTAAGTCAATTATGAGAGTACGACAGAAAGCTAGATGAGGTCAAACTCAGGTAGTTGATTTGAGTTGCATTACCAAGTATACACTTTGTAGTCAACGTCCGTAAAACCACTCTGATCAGTCTTCGTTTAACAAAGCTGGTGCAAACGTATTCTTTTTTTGTATTATCTTACTCTAGATCTCTAGGTTCAATGATATTGCAAACTTTTTATAATGCTGATACGGTTTTTTTCCTGGAACCATTATTTCTACGTTCAGGATTTTCTAAAATCATTGACACTACTGTTATTTCTTTATTTTTTCCTCTCAGTTTGATGTGATATGGTAAATGAGTCTCTGACATATTTGCGCTAAGTCTTACGCTGATTTTAGTTGAGTGATGAGAATAAAGTGTTTGAATAACAGATAATTCACACGTTCTTTTGTTCACAAATGACAGGAACAAGATATGTTGACCAACTTTATTTCGCTGATGAGTCCCATACCAGGACGAGACGGTCGTCTAGTGCTTCCAGGTTTCTAATGGTGGTCTAACAATGATGCATTCATGATTTTAATGATAAACAACAACCTCCATAACCCTATAATGAAAAATCATACAATAAGCTCACTAATGACTAAGCTTTGTGAAGAAATTCCCAGACTTCTAGTGAGAAGACGTGACCAATGGAGTTCAACCCTATGGGATGTAGACGGTAACTACCAGAGAAAACGGGTTAGGTTGCGCAAAAGTTAGATTGATCGGAGTCGGACATTAACACCGTTGGATGCAGGCTCAGTAGTCCAGACCGAACGTCCTGGGTTCGAATCCTGCGAGTAGCAGGAGTTGTAGATGCACACTGATTATGAGTCCTAAACCGGGACGAGACGACCATCCAATGCTTCCAGGTTTATGATGGTGGTCTAACATTGATCGGTTCATGATTTCAATGTGTAAAAACAGCCTTACTTTATCGGCTTTATTACAATGGAGATAACATTCCTTTTTCATATGTGTATCGTCTCACTCTCGTTGAGTTAAAGAGAAATTTGGACAGTGTCGCAGAAGTGCGATTATACAAATCTAAGGGAGTTTTAGAAAGGATTTTCTGCAGTATATACATGAATGATCTTTTTCATTCCTGAGCTATCCTTGAGAAGTGTAAATAAGATCTTCCGATTGTTGAGTCGATAAGTTTACAGTTTAACGCTCCCTCTTTCTCTCACTATCGAATGCATATGTAAACATGTAGATAGAAAAAAAAACACAATTTACAAAACTTACTGATTACATCTTCCACAGAAATATCCATTTTCACCAACTAATTCTGCTTCAGAAAAATAATGAGATAAACAATCTTCAAGTGTAAGAGTAGACCATTTATTTATCCAACGTTTAGGTCTGTTATATATATGAAACAGAAATATGAAACGAAAAAGTGAAATAGAGAAATTATGAGTTAGATAATACACCATTAATTCCGTAATGATTGTTAATATAATGAGTGGTTGAAGTGTAGTTCTACTAGTCCATATTTTTCTCTCAAATTGCATCTTTACTGTTTCATATTTTCTATTACCATTAAAAACACTATACTACTACTTATCTGAAATCTGCATTGACAATTTCAGCCAGCTGTGTTAATGACAAGTGGCAGCTCGAACCGATGTACACATATACCAGATTTTATGCTGCTTATAACTGACTGACTTGAATGTTAGGTTGTACTATCTACACTGATCATTGAGCAATATGCTGATGAAATTTTAAATATTGGTTAATTAAACAAAGTTAGGAATCATGTCCACGCTAGAGTTTCAGAGGTAGGATCCCAGATTGAGCATTAGAGATGACTATGTTGAACATTGGTGCTGATCAGAAACAAGCTATGGTCTGTACGAGGTTGAAGCTGATAATAACTGCTATCTGACCTGAGACAGTTTAATCTCTATTCACCATTCAGGCCATTCAGGTTCCTAACATGCACATCCGACTACCGTTACAATACTTCTATTCTATTTATAGCTTTTTATTTCCAGTCTGTCTACATATTTGTTCTTCAAATTTACAAGCAATTCAGCTACAGTGAACGTTTCACCCTGTATAGAGCATTTTCAGCGGCCTTATTTTACAAGGATTTATGAGCATTATGAATGTTCATGTTTTATTTCGTCGGTTTTTTTTTCGGTCTACATTCTCTCTAAAAAAACTTCATGATCATTATGATTATCATTATTTTCACTTATCTACTTTGATTTGTCATTGAACTTCTCTTTTATTGTCTTAATGCAAAATGCAATGAATTAAACACACATAAACCAATAATTTCATTTTTTTTTCAAAAAAAAAAAAACACTAATACAAATGAGTTACAACATTTAAAACTTACGAAGGTATAAAGTTTTGTACATAGGATAAAAATATATGAGTTAATGTTAAAAGCATAGTCAATAACCAAGGAATACCCGTCACTAGACGATCAACAATTGTTGTGACAGATGAAAATGATTTTCTCCTCTTCGATCGATCAAGTGTAGAATATTTTTTATTTAATGAATTTGATGATTGCGTTTGTTGTAAATCATTAGATAATTTTGGACATATTGAGAAATTCTTTACTCTTGAACCTGTAGTTACGGAACCATTCATTAAAGAGGAGTTTGTTGATTGATTAATGGAAGAAGAGGATGAATATGTTTGTACAGTTGGTTTAGTAAGGGAAAGGGATAAGTCCATGAATGATTCTTCTCGGTTAGAAAGCTACAGAGAAGAAGAAAGAATGTTAATAATGATCCCATATATATTACAAAACAAGTCAAAAAAATATTGAACATCAGGATTTACCATAGAGACATATATCTTTAAATGTAAGGTTTTTAAAAGAATTCGGACAGGAAACCCTGAACCTGTGTATCACGCTATCCGATACTCATCATGAAGGTTTATCTATAATTTTGAGAGAACGGACACTGACGTATTCGATCCTGTATCACTTAAAAGTACAATTAGGAACGTTGCAACTAGGTTATTCTTGTGTGTTTTACATTTCTCAGACCGATCAACAACTATCTATTGATGTGAGCAATGATGTATTGTGAATACAAGGAAAAGAATGTAAGAATTGATTTGTAGTTTATGACATACGAATCTTGACTAATATCACATGACATAACCACAAATCGGAATACGATTCCGCGCTAATAACCTTGAGTCAACAGCTAGTTCTTGTTAGTCTACATTTCCCTCCCTGCTCTGTCCATTGAGTCCAGAACACAATAACCAATCTCCCTTACACGAATTATATATTTCAAACATACGCAGTTTATATATACATACCCGACCGAAGCTGCTACCTTGACGTGGTGGTCGGGCTTGCCTATCGTGATGACCCAACCGAGCTTTACTGGCTGGAACATATGTTCCTGCAGGTCCTACCATGCCAGGCTGGTCGATTGGAGAACGATGAGACTAAAAGCAGCTACCCAAGGTCTGAGGGCGAAGTCGTACTGCTGACTGCAGAGGGGTGTGACAGCAGTAAGGTGTTTCCCTCGGACAACCAGCATCTGCAGCGATGCTGCCTTCTCACAAGGAAGGAAGGGTTAGAAAAGGTCGGCCCTAAAAATGTCACACTCCCCCTAACTCACGGATTTCCGTCTCCTTGGGTAAGGGTGCCCACTAAGGGCCTTTAAGAACGGAGCTAATTCTCAAAATACCTTTCATAAAAAGGCCGTGCGTGACCGGCCTCAAGCAGTTGTCCCTTGGGCTCTGCGGTCACGCACCAACACTAATCCATCTTCCTTTTCAGGTCCCTCAAGAAACAACCTTCCACGGTGTGGGCAGCCGGGAAGTGACAACCGCCCTCATACCCGTTCCAGCACGCGAGACCAAATTGGTCAAAATCAAATCCTTCCTACACCCCCTAATGTCTCTTTTATCTCTACAACTAACTCTACTCACACTCCCTTTTCTCACTGCACCGCTAATGCAGACGAAGCGAGATCACGAAACGTCGTTCATGGTCTCTTGAAACCCCGTTCTAGACTACATATTGGAGCTTTTAATGTACGGACATTGTGTCAAATAGGGCAACAGGCATCATTAGCTAGGACTTTAGAAACTCGTGCCATCGATGTATGCTGCCTCTCGGAAACGAGCATACAGGATCCTAGTAAAGTCATTAACCTGATTCCACCTTGTCAAAACGAAGAAGCAGCTCGATTTACTCTTCGTGTATCCGGTAGCCCTGATGCTGCTTCCAGGGGTCTTGCTGGCGTAGGCATAGCGTTGAGTCCTAGGGCAGAATTATCTCTCCTAGACTGGATCCCAGTAGATAGTCGTTTGTGCGCTGTCCGACTAAACGGGATAGTAAGGACTCGGAAGGATAGGGACACTCGCCGTTGCCTCTTCGTCATATCTGCCTATGCCCCCACTGACTGCAGTGCAGACGAGGTTAAAGATGAGTTTTACAGAAAGCTTTCGGACCTCCTCCAAAAAGCTAAGCGCTCTGACATAGTAATAGTGGCTGGTGACTTTAATGCTCAAGTAGGTAGACTAGGTGAAACGGAAAGACATCTAGGTGGATGTTATGGTGTAGCGACTGAGAGAACAGACAATGGTGACCGTCTGTTGCAACTGTGCTCAGATAACCGCCTATTCTTAGCGAACACCAACTTTAGGCATAAGGAAAAGCATCTGTTGACCTGGCGACCTCCAAAGTCGTCTCAACGTTGGACTCAACCAGATCACATCGCCATCAGCCACCGATGGAGGGGTTCGATAGAAGACTGTCGCTCGTTCTGGAGCACATGTTTGGATTCAGATCATGCTCTAGTGCGAGCTCGTATCTGTTTAAGGCTTACTGGACGTAGGAAACACACCGTAAGAAAGCCTCTTAGGGTTTTACTTAATGATAATCAAACTAAGAAAATATTTCAGGAGCAACTAGAAAGAGAGTTAAGCAACCATGCAAGCGATTCCCATCCAGAAGCAGGTTGGTGTGATATCAAAAAGGCTGTGGAAACAGCAGTGATATCTGCTAGGAAGGTAAACCATGAGGCTAGGATGAAGCCGTGGATTTCAGTTGCATCCACCGAACTGATGGATGCTCGAAAACGCATCCCACCTGACTCTGAGCATGATGAAGAGCGTAGTCAGCTTAGGCGCAGACTTATAAAAAGTCTGCGTAACGACCGCGAACAGTGGTGGGTGGCGAAAGCAAAAGCGATGGAAAAGGCAGCGGCGATAGGCAACACTAGACAACTTTTCCGCCTTATCAAAGAAACCGGTATTAGGAACCCGAATGTAAGTGAGACTATCTCGGAAAAGGATGGTCTTATTATTCATTCTCAATCTAGGAGGCTGGACCGATGGGCAGAACACTTTAGGGATCAGTTCAACTGGCCACGAGCCACTCTTCAGCTACCCACGATCTCCAGTCATCCTGAATGGCAAATCGACGTAAGTCCCCCCAGTCTTAATGACGTTGAGAAAGCGTTAGGAAATCTGAAACGAGGACGAGCTGCAGGTCCTGATAGATTGACCCCTGAGATATTTAGGGATGGTGGTCCAGTTTTAGCAGCTAGATTGACTGAGATCTTAGGTAGAATCTGGGAACTGGACGTAATCCCATCCGACTGGTCTCAATCCTTGATTGTCCCAATCTATAAGAAAGGACAAAAGTCTTCTTGTGACAATCACAGAGGAATAAGTCTAACTAATATAGTATCTAAAATATTGGCCTCAATAATACTTCGACGCTTAACGAAAGCTCGTGAAGAGCAGACTCGAGAAAACCAGGCTGTTTTTCGACCTGGACGTGGCTGTATAGACCACGTCTTCACACTCAGACAGGTCCTGGAACATAGACACACATTTAGGCGTCCTACAATAGTTGTTTTCCTGGACCTTAAGGCGGCATTTGACTCAGTGGATCGTAAGGTTCTGTGGCAGTGTCTGTCATTGAAAGGTGTACCACAGAAGTACATTACCCTTATACAAGCTCTTTACTCGAACACCACTGGTCGGGTGAGGGCTTATGGCGAACTGTCACCGGAATTCTCTACATCAAGTGGTGTCCGTCAGGGATGTCCACTTTCTCCATTCTTGTTTAATTTTATCATAGACATGCTCCTAGAGTTAACATTATCCTCGTCTGAATTTTCAGGAGTAGACCTTCTTCCAGGTGGCTCGCTTATTGACTTAGAATATGCCGATGACATTGTCCTACTTGGTGAAGACGCTGACAAAATGCAGAGTCTTCTGACTACCCTAAGCAACAATGCAAGCATGTTCGGGATGCGGTTTTCCCCCTTGAAATGCAAAATGTTGCTTCAAGACTGGGTTGCATTGGCACCTGAACTAGTGATAGGGAGTGAAGTAGTCGAACGTGTAGACCGCTTCACTTATCTTGGGAGTCTCATCAGTGCCGATGGCCTGGTGACTGACGAAATCTCAGCTCGGATACAGAAGGCTCGATTGTCTTTTGCCAACCTGCGTCACTTATGGCGTAGGCGAGATATCCGTTTGCTGACTAAAGGACGAGTGTACTGCGCAGTGGTTCGCTCCGTCTTACTTTATGGCTGTGAAACATGGCCAGTGAGAGTAGAAGATATTCGTAGGTTACTGGTTTTCGATCATAGGTGTCTTCGAAGCATTGCTCGTATATCGTGGGACACCCGAGTGAGCAACGCTGTTATTAGGAATCGGGTGCTAGGTAAGAATGGCAGATCAATCGATGAAGTATTGAAACTTCACCAGTTGAGGTGGTTGGGACATGTGTTGCGTATGCCGAACCACCGGCTGCCTCGTCGAGCCTTGTTTTGTAGTGTGGGAATAGGTTGGAAGAAAGTTAGGGGCGGCCAAACCAAAACATGGCAGAAATCCATGAAGTCATTGACAAGTGGACTTAGCCATGTCGGTAATTGTCGACTACCTGGTTGGGGTCCGCGAGATGATAATAATCGATGGTTAGAGACCTTGAATGACATGGCTCAAAATCGTTCGCAATGGCGCCAGTGCATTTATTCTCTGTGTTCTCTCAAATGCTAATCTTCTGGATTCTTCAACCCCTCCAGTTTCGACTCTCTAAACTTTTCTCATTGAATCATACTTCTTGAATAATATCTTCTAATCCTAACCTCTCCGATTACTTCTAATTCCCTTACTACCTCTTCTACTATTGGATTTGAATTGACGATTACTTCTCTGTGCTGATGTGGTATGGCAACATGAACTGATGTACTTATGTACAAAGTTCTACGTTGCATCTGACTGACTGACTGATATATACATACATACATAACAGCATCATACTAATAAGTGGTAAATAACAGTTATACATGAATAAGTCGAAAGGTAAGAAAGATTATGGATAGTGAAGTAGCAACAGATTAAGAATAGTAAATTATACAATAGTAGTTGATATGTTAATCGGAAGCTCATGATGAAAGGAGTATATATACATATATTATATAATGTAGTAACTTGATAATTATACATTAAGACTTTATCCAATACCAATCTAGAAATCGGTTGTTGTCTAAGCTACCATTACTTTAATCTTAATAATAACAATAAGGAAAAGTATTAAAAAGGAAATGAATGAAATGGCTTAGAATATAGTAAGAACAATAGGTATTATTCTTTAAAAATTCTGTACGACTGAATACCAACCAACTAAACATAACTATGCATAATGAATGATACTGCATTGAGTTGATCCTACAATCAGGTTAAGTAGTGATAACAGATGAAATGAAATGCACGTAAATTTTATTTCAACTTACTTAATTCATATCATGAAATAATGTAATTGTCAAAGAAGTGTGTTTAGAAAACACACTATGTTTAGCGGTCAAGAGGGAATGTGAATCAACTGTGATTACATAACCTTATTACAACTATTGTTCAAGATTATCTACTACGTTAAACAAATGGACTATAGGACGTGGGATACGAATTAGAAACTCGTACATAGTAGTAAATTCACCCTCTACTGTGATCTTAACTTCCATCCTAATTTTGCCTACTTTTCTTACAGGCGAATTTTTGTTGAAGATACAACATTTACTTAGATTACTATGTATGTTGCATAACATATGAATGTAACTGTACAGCTTTAGTAATAATTGACTGACTAAATTTACTTTAGCAGTGATATAATCCGCTTATTTAGTTTTACAGATTCTTTTAAGTTAAAAGATCATTTTGAACTGCAAACAACAATAGACTGGACAGTTATTTCTGATTGATAAAAGACTTCTCAGCAGTGATATCATCCACAATATCAAATCATTCAATTTTTCACCAGGATGAACAAAAAAAACCAATTTCAGAAGATGAAAGATTTGAAAATTTTTTGTTGAAAGATAGTATAGCTTTTATTGGTTAGCTGGTTATCATCAAATGCACAGTTTGACACAAATGTACTTTAGAGCTCAAGTCAATATGCAACACATTATCACAGAGATAATATGCAAAGAAGAATAGCAAAAGAATCAAAATAGTGTAGTACCAATGATAACGATGAGGGTAACATCTGCCGCCACTCACTACAGTTATTACATAGATCCTAGTCAGGTGGTCTGCATCTACCAACTGATGTCAAGTTTTGGTATGGCCATCTCTATATTTTTCAACCCACCTCTATACCAATTACCATTGCTTGTGGTGGAGATGCGTTTTCTGAGCTGGATGGTGTTTGGTTGAGATAGGCGGTAGTTATGCATACAAAATACAAATCTTACAACTTCATTAAACAACTTGCTATAGTTGTTCAGTACTCTAATGTAGTATAACCATGTAAATTTCACTTGGTCGATCAACGAAACGCGAGAAACGCTTCAAAAGCATTTGAAATATATATATATCCTCCCTACTTCAGTGAGACATGTTTCACAGCCAAAGCGAAATACATAATCGACTGTTGTGCAGTATACTCGCCCTTCGGTTTGCAAAAAAAAACATCTTACTTATACATACCATAAGTGATTCACTTAGGCAGTAAAGTGAAGAGAGTTTTTCTACGTCGAGATTTAGTCAGACAATGAAGATAGTAGCTTTAATGATTCCGACATTGTTTATGAACATTAACAAATTGAATATAACTGAGAATGAAAGTAAAATTTATCAAAGTTTTTATTACAACAAATCAGTGACTAACCCGGCTGCATGAAAGGCAACGGACAGAACTAACTAGTGTACCTTGAAAGACATCGGTAATTATGCTATTGTTGCTATTATCTGATGGACCAGTATTTGTTGTTGCTGTTTGCTTGATGCCTATAAAAAATAAAAGAGAAATATTTGCCTTTAGAGGAAGCAAAATTTGCAAAAGGATTTAAAATGTGTTTCGGGTCGATAATGACTATTTAGATTGAATAAGCACTAAACACTTGACAGTGACACTTCACTATGATACTGTTACACTAGTCGCAGGTCAACAATCATTGTGTTTCTGGATATTAGGGTCGCCTTCGATTTGTTGGACAAGTGTCAGAGTTGGCGGTGGTTGGACATACCTAACACATATCTGAGACTTCTCAACTGATAAAGCCAATAAGTCAATTATTTGATTTTGACCGATTTGATCTCGTATGCTTTTATGGATATGAGGGCGGATGTTACCTCCCAGCTGCCCACACCCTGGAAGATAAAAAACTGATTCCTGTGATTGCCATAAGAGGGCTTTCGTTCTTTTTTATGCACCAGGACAATCAGTGATTGAGACCGGACAGATGAGAGTAAGTCCAGTTCCCACATTCTAGCTACGATCTCAGTTAATCTAACAGCTAAAACTGGACCATCAACCTTTAAAAACTCTCAGGAGTTAATCCAGTAGGCCATGCTATTCTCTCTTGCTTTAGATTGCCTGTAATCTTTCAATCTCGCTAGAAATCGGAGGATTTACATCAACTTGCCATTCAGATTGCATGGAAACGGTGGGTAGCTGATGTATGGAAGAAGGCCAGTCCAACTGTTCAATAGAAAGTTTTGCCCATCGGTTTAATCGCCTGGATAGAAAGTGAATAACAGTTCCGTCTCTTTTCGAAATAGCCTTACTGACAGCTGGACTTCTAATATCCGTTTCCTCGATAAGCCTAAATGGTTGTCCACTGTTGCTGATTGCCACTGACTTTTCCATTTCTTTTTCTTTGGTTACCTATCACTGCGATCACTGCGTAGGATTTTTACCAGCCTGCGTTTAAACTGCCTCTGCTCCTGGTCGTGCCTAGAGTCAGATGGGATGAGTTCCCGAGCGTCTATCAGTTTAGTAGATGCATCTGCAATCCACTGATCTTTCCTGACCTTTTGGTCTAATTTACTGGCATTTCCATAGCCTTTTGGATATCATTCAAAGCTTCGTCGGGATGGGTGCCACTTACATGGCTGACTAACTGGTTTTCTAGCTGCTCCTGAAATGTACTCCTGACTTTTTTATCTTTAAGTAGAACTCTAACTCCTCGCTGAATCTCCCTAACGTCCAGTAAGCTTCAGACAGACGTCTTCGTACTAGAGCATGATTTGAATCTAAACGAGTGCTCCAGAATGAGCAGCAGTCTTCCATTAAGCTTGTGTCATTATAGTCTAGTTGTGTTCACCTAAAACACTTTCGGTTTCGTTCAGTACACCAGCCTGTGCATTAAAATAACCCAAAAATTTTACTACATCAGAGTGTTTAGCTTTTCGAAGGTTGGAAAGCTTTTTGTAATAATCATCCTTTACTTTATCCAAGCTTTAATCAATCGGAGCAAAGGCAGAGACAACGAAGAGGCAACAGCATGTTTCCTTATTTTTCCAAGTTCTTACCTTGCCGTTCAGTAGGACAGTGCACAAGCAACTATTTGTTAGTATCTAATCTATCAGAGCTAGTTCTGCTTTTAAACTTAATTCTATACCTACACCAGCGAGGCCACAGAAAGTAGAATTTGAGTCTCCATATTTACGAAGGATAATTTGCGACGGTTCTTTAGATTAATAAGGGTAGGTCAAATAAATGACTGTACTTGGATTCTGTTTACGTGTTTTGGAGACACAGCACCTATCAATCGCACGAGTTTCTAAATTCCTAGCGAAGGAAGCCTGTTGTCTTATTTGGCACAAAATTCAAACACTAAAAGCTTCAACATGTGGTTTAGAGCGTGATTTCAGAAGACCAGGAATAACATTTCGTGTATTCAAATCGTTAGCATTAGTGACGCCTGAAGACAAGAGTTATTAGGAGGTGGGGGAAGGAGTCGATCGTGAACAAGATGATTTCGTGAGTTTTTCAATGAGGAAGGTCCGTAAGAACAAAGGATAAACTAGCAAATTACTAAAAACATGCGTAACGTTACAACAGTTCATCATAGTGTCAAATATTGCATTCTGAGTGAGCTTGTACTTAGCTTAATAAGATATTAATATTTTAGCCTGTTGGTATAAGTATTTATTCACCCAGTTTAAGCTTCGGTTTAAGGCTTCGAATCACAAGTGATCTAAATAAATAGGATAATATCAGCTTTTCAGATTGAAAGGTTTGAATTCATAAACTGGTAAATTACACATGTTCGCCTGTTCGAAAATAAACCTTAATACCATCTTTTTTATGAGGGATTCGAGATCGACAGCACAGATTAAATTATAAAGAATGTTAAATTAAACCAGTTGATCAAATAAGACTTCAAAAATGAAGATGAGCTATTTAAGAATAGCCGAAGCACAGAGTAGTAGCGTAAACTAAGTTCAAAATTTAGCTAGTAGAGTACGATTCGCAAATCACGTTGACCCATTATTACTGAAAGCAAAAACGTAAAAATTGTTACCTATCTCGTCGTTTCGGTCATACCTCTTTTACTGGGACTTGAAAGTTTTGAATGTTTTAGTTCCTCGTGCAGTTGAACTAAAAATAGTCTAAGGAATTCTTGAGCATCTTGTTGTGCATAACCTCTGAACATTGGGTGCACAATACAGAAAGCATCTAAAATTGTGTTTGCAGTGAAACAGCGTGGTCTGAATAAGGAAGAGAAAAAGAAAAACAGATAATAGCTCACATTACAAGATATTCAACATGAAATTCAACATTCTAGTTGACTGAAATCAAAGGAGAAACCAAGTTAGGCCAGACTTATCTTATCATTGAGGAAAAGTGAATGAATCGCAGTCTAACTTTAGTGAAGTAATTTGCACCAACATTTAGAGTTTATGAGTTACATTTCCATCAAAAATGTTAAGTCAAAATCCGTATAACTGTCCACTGGGTTCATCAGAATATACCATGATGACCGAATATAAAATATTTTGTAAATTTATTGAATCTGATCATTAATTTTTAGGCATAAGAGTGAGTTTTTCCGAGTTATTTATTTATTCAAACATATAAACATTGATACAAAGGGGCAGTTGAATATATATGCGCCATACAAATCAGGGAATTCGTTTGTGGGCTGGAATACTATCTGAGTGTCTAAAATAAAACAGATGGTTTACTAGAGAAGCCACACCCCAGGATGTTCACCAAGAGGTTCAACCCATAAAACGCCTGAGCAACATCAGGAGGTGAAGTCCCACGGTAGTCGGTGACCAAAAGTAGGTTCATATTCCATTCGCTGTCAGAAATCTGAAGCTTATGTGCACTATTAGTTTGTAACCAGGGTTTTCCAGTTCCTCTAAATGAACCCTTCGAACCTACTAACTCTGTTCAAACGCCGGATATTCGCCTTTCATACTCCGGATTTCGAGATGATGAGACTTTTCTGGTAACGGCTATTTACACGTGGCCATATGAGAGCATTTCGAGAGGGAGAACGGACTCTCTACACCGTCAATCGTACAAGGGCATTTGGGGGCTATCACATTTGATATCAATCCACAGAATTAAGAAAACGAAAATCAAAGGAGCTGTAGTAAAAGCAGTATCAATTATAGTAGGGAACTGGACCCATATAATGCTATTTGAGAAAACTACGAAGATTAGAACACAAATTTCATTAACTTAACTTAATTGTGCTCTCCCATTTACGGCATCTTGTCGTATTTGTAAAAGCTGAACATAGTTTACATCACATACTGACTTCAATGACACAACCTTCAAAAACAATTCACCAGATTTTTGACGTAGCTTTGAACTAAGTTGTTGTGACAAGTATGGAATAAGATCAAGCTCAAAAGTAAAGAACATTATGGAATAAGTATATTGCTAGCAATGTTGCCTTTTTTCAACAAGAAAGGTCAAAAAGATCAACCCTACAAATTGCACGCCTTCCATTTTCACACAGTTGCGAGGACGAAAACATACTTTTAAAATTATAAAGTAAATTCTTCAATACTGTATACATAAAATTCCTTCTAAATACAGTATCGATGTTTTGCGAGTTTTATCCTTTTCTTAATGTACCACAAGTGAGACGTTCTGAATCTATTCTTCTACTGTTCCAAAGATGAGTTACATCTAACAGTTAGCTTTACTAACTCTTAGTGAAGTTGCAAATGAAGTTAAGTTAAAACCACTGAAAGCACTAGGGTGAGGCAGATAATTTGTAAATTTCAAGGATGAAAATCTGGCATTTAACCTGAACTGATAAACATTTGTGCCAGGTCCTACGTAGAATGACTGATAATGAGAAGGGTAATATTCAGGCACCTACGAAACATATCCTGTCCAAACCAGTTGAGATCAATAAATACCAAGCTAAATTTCCAGCAGCCGTATACACCAGAAAAATAATTCTACATTAAACCACTAGAAAAACTCCACCATATTGTACGGATAATTCTTAAAGCCATATGCTATAGAGTAGGTCCCTAATGATTGATGAGACAAGATTTCGATCTAGATCAATAATTAGAAAGCAAATCGATAGATAGACGGTGTTATGGAGTAGCTAAATTATGACTGCTTACAAAACCTAACATTTAGCCCAAAAAACGATTACAGAGAGACATCATCATTGTGTTGATCGTTTAGAGTAGAAGTACAGTGGAAACAAACAAATTACTGAACAATCTCTTGCGTAGATGAAGTACATCAAGTACTGAAAGATGAGGAGCAAGATGAAGAATTTTTAGTTAGAATTCATATGACGAATTTGTGATGGATACCATAAGAAAGTTAAAAATTGATTAGTCATATTTATCTCTCTAAATATCAAGTTAGCTTTTGGTTTTGTTCCTTCTATTGGAACCACAGTTTCTACTTTTGATTCCTTATTATCAGTGATACTATTATTTCGCCTTCTAATGTTGATCTTCATTTCTCCCTACAGTACTAAAGATGTACTACTGAGAACAATAATGTACCATTAAGGGACCAATGCCAAAGTTACAATAAATTTTTCGAATGCACTCCAGTCTACACTCGCCATTATTTTAATATCTATAGGAACCACTTGTTATTTCCTATATCTGACTACATGAGGAACCTAATTCACAACTCACTCAAATTTTCAGGTAATGACAGAACTTTGACAGTAAATTACCTATACCCAAAGTATAAGTCCAGCTAAATGAAAGTTATGGCAGAAAAACACACGAGTTCGAAAGATGAAGTTAGTGAAAATGATAGATGTGTTTAGATTACACATTGAATCTAATTACCTTTCATTGCCCCAAAATTCAGAGAGAAGTGTACAATAATGATTAAATAACACAAGCCTTCGATTTGGATCAAGGACGTCATGGCACTCGAGGAAGAATTCTGTTAAATGTGGACTAAAAGCTGTGAAATAGATCAATGAATGTTACCAATTAGATAAAGCTTGTAGAGCGGCATTCATGTAACAAGTGTTACCTATATTACGAAGCCCCCGAAGCCCAAGCGAAAGCAACTGATCAGAACTTATTATAGTATCCCCAAACTCCTCATTCATATTCACAAACATTGTTAAAGCACATGACGCTAGTAGCGTATCTGTACAACCCGCGCCAAGGTGACAAAGCCCAAGGTACAACCACTGGAACATTAGGAGTCTTTGGAGGTTTATTAAATCACTAGTTAGATTACTTATAAAGTGATAGGTGAGGTGAAATGCATATTTTACATTGAATCAAGATATCTAAGTACACTAAAGTGATTATCTTTGCGGATGAGCTTATCAAGTTTAACATGACTTCACCGAAAATACTGAAAATAGGAAATAGTCCACTTTTAACTACCAGAATGGAATATTCAGACACTACTGTGAGTAAAATCTTCGTATTCCTTAATTGACAGACAATTCAAGCAACAAATCCAACAATCTTAATCTTACCAAGTTTGAACAATTGTGCAGTAGATCTCGCTGTCTTGATCAGCAGCTCTTTTTCTGGTTGCTTCAATAGGAACAAAGCAATATTCATTGGCTTGCTATCACCTAGCATAGGTTTTCATACCGTCATGGTGATTAGCGTGTCCCATATGTCATCCGTTACATATCACGGCGATCAAGTCCCTGCGAATGATGGCTATAAATGTCACAAAGCAGGACTTAGCTGAGGAGCTTCAGGTTTGTCAGGGCACAAAGAATGGACTCTCTAATCCCATCAGATGTTATGAGAACCTGTCTATATCACTGATATGACAGGAGGGATGGAAAAGTGGTACTCATCGACGTTGATTGACCTCTGTGGACAATACACGACAAAAGAAGTGACAACCAGAGTCTGAAACAGCACAATACAAGCACTAAACTTTCAGCAATCAGTTCCCACAGAACTGAGAAAGTCGTTTTAACCAGCTTCTTGGAAAACATGAGAAGGGATGCTCGTACAGAGGAGTACCAGGTGATAAGACAAGCGATTAGGTGATCCTGTTGTTACGTGAGACAACTGCAGTGAAACGCTTCTACGAAGAAAATACGATTTGTGAAAAATAAAAATTATCGTACTCGTTTTGTTTAACTGTACCAAAAAACACTTCTTGCGCGTGTTTCTGACATTTTTCTTAACTTGCTGCACCCCATGTAATGCCTACTATCTCCTTCAATAAAATATTTACCCATGGATTTATTTTGATATATATTACGGGATAATATGGAACAGTTAGTGGCGATCATAGACAATCTAGTATCTCTCACCAGTAAACAACTAAGAGATATGCTAGCAGAAACCATGAATATCTGCTCTTTTAATGGTCTGAAGAATAAAATCCCAACTGAAGACTTACTACAGGTGAAAAAGTGAGCCCGATAAAAATAGAAAATCTCTCTGATGGATTTTGATCGAAATCCTTGTTTGGCATTCAGAAATATATGCAATACCAAAATACATTCATAAGCTAGTGACCGAAACACAGCGAATCCAAAGTATCTCTTAATGTTCATGATTACGTGAAAACCTATGAATTAGTGTGTTTGTACTATTAAAGGTCTAAATGATGAATATCTTAAAAATCTGGAGATAGTTGGGAATTTCTGTGCCAACTTCACCAAACATTTTAACCAGGTACTCACAAGATCAGAGTGTTTCGTAAGGCTACTGCCAAATGACCGTCTCTGGAATATCCAACTTATCTCTGATTAATACTGAGAAAACTGAAATCCTTGCTTCGAGTAATTATACCAGGATTTGACAATATCTGCCCTTTAATCATGGAAGAGTGTGCTGAATCTCTCAGTTCACATATATGTTACCTATTAGCACATTCACTGAAACCACACCAACTCCCGACTGAATCATAACAAACTACTCCCTCTCTCTACAATCTTCGGAGGGGAAGATGGGAAGGCTACAGTCTATAACAAACCAGCCTCATTACTATCTAAACTGTCGAAGTTAGTGGAAGGACCTTTGAGAGAACAAATGAAAAGGTTTTTGATTAAATCGGATCTAGTGAAGGTAGGTCGTGCACATCCAAACAACTCAAAGCAAGAGATAGCTGGACAGCCTGGTGACACCAAAAATCACCATTTCATATATTATTCCTTGACTGAATGGAAGTTTTCGAAACAATACCCCAATTACTTCTAGTAGTGACTTGTAAAAGTGGATTTTACTGATCCACTTCTATCTTGGCTCCGAAAATGCCGAAAAAACAGGAATTTTCGTACCAAGGTAAACAGAGTGCATGCTAGCTGGAGTGTCTCAACATCAGCTACTAAGTTCGATAAAATCAAACGTAAGAACATTGCTCCATCCGTATCTTATTCTGATCTCCCCACTGGCTCAATAGAATCTTACCGTGAACTTGTAAACGACTTCTCTTTACCGTGTATCCCGCTCGTTGATATAAACACAACTCACCTCCTTCCGAGTGACTCGACACCATCCACTACTTCTTGTGTTCCATCTGAAATAGACTCCTGTGAGCACTTGGTAGAAAGTGTGGCTGGTCTTAAACATTTGACGAGCCCGCAAGCGGATCAAATTCATAGCAATCCGAAAAATGTCTCCAGGCCTTTTTGCCATAGGATATCCAGTACTGTTGATCTGGACTGTTCACTTTCTGATATGTTCATAACTTCGGATGACTTTACGCAGACTGAGCAACCGCAAAACACTTGTAGCAAGTCTGTTCATCATCCTATTCGCCTTAACAGCTGTGACCTGAACTCCAATAGATTTCCCACTATTAGCTCTGAGGACACCTTAAGTGCATTCGATATCAAGCAAACCATTCAGGATTTACTACCTTATAAATACCTGGTCAGTGTTCCAGAAAATCCTGATCTCGATATCATTAAAAAAACGGAAATAGTAATTGACCACATATCCTCTGAAGTGTTAAAAAGACTTCAGTGCATGCAGAATGCGATTGTTTATAACGTACCTGACAGTGCTAGCCTCAATTCTGTTAAAAACACTCTCCTTAAAGAGTGCGGATTGTCCGGCTCTTGGTGCGTAGCACGCAGGCTTCGTAAAATTCAGTCTAAATATTCCTGTCCCATTCTTCTTCAATTTAGTACTGTCATCGAAGCCAATCACTTTATTAACAGTCAGTCACTGTTTAGACACATTCCTTTGTTTAAGAAGATTAGAATTATCAGGGATAGAACTACTATACAGCGCCGTATCACCAATGGCCTTTCAACTATGCCGGTCGATTCGTGTACTAGTAGCAGCGTCAATCATGAACGTCACATTAACCCTACTATACCCAACTCCACCCCTCCCAAAACGGAGCACAGATCCAAAGTGACTATTAGTCCGGAGACCTGTCCCCTGAACAAAAGTGCTGCCACTTGTCCCGTAGTCAAAAGCCCATCTACATGTAAACCACAGGTCAATCGCACTCTTGTAATACATAAACATTGTCCTAAAGATAAAGGGACAGACCTAGTGGTTCGAAATTCCCACAAGAGACGTGCTACTCGCCCTAACCGTCAGTCTGCAGTACTTAACATACCTAATAAACAACAATGCCTGCCCCCTACCTCTCCTACTCGGGACGCCACTATACTTCTAAAATTGAAACCTAGGACTCCTGAGAATACGGACACTCATACCATAAATACCCCCCTAAACTCTAACCGTAGGCGCCTCCCCGTTTCCAACCCAAAGCCTTTACCCTTGATTGCGTACAAAAAGACTAGGATGCCTAGAGTTGCTGAGATAACTCGTAACACTAGCCTGCTTGGGCATCCGCCTAATGTTCCTAGACACCACCCTAGCCGTAATTCCTTTTGCAATTCTTCAGTCTCTCCAAAAAATGTACCTAACCCTTTTTTAACGCTCACCCCCTCAACAGAGTTGTTTTTCTACCTCCAGCTGTTGAGGGCGATATTTCCCCCTACTTCAAGTCATGCTTTGCATTCTGTGATGTAATGGATGACAATCGATCTTTGACTCTGTCTTCCCCTTCTAGCTGTAATACCTTTATGTCTGGTCCTTTTGTCAAACCACCTTTCACATTGTCCAAAGATTTGACTAACTCCACTATACCTTATCCAATGGACTTACGAAACGATCCACCCTTATGCTCCCTAGCGACTTCCTCATCTGTTCTTTGGGAGTCATCAGTTAACTCTGACGAACAACACTTATCATTTCCTACCTCACATGTTTCTCTCCCCATGCCTGTCTCTGAATACCTTTCTCCCTCTAACTATATCGCTCCCAAACTAACTGATCATTACAATCAAGCCTATATTCCTACTCCCAGACCTTCTTTAGAACTCACACCATACAACCCTCCAGATGCCCATCGTGCATCCCTGAAAGATGAGTATTCGTCCTATGTTACACTAATGCTAATTAATTCCCGATCTGTTATCAATAAGATTACCCACTTACGCTCTCTAGTACATCTAAACAATCCTTCCATTGTCCTGATTACTGAAAGCTGGTTGTCCTCCGATGTCCCTGACTCATACCTTCTAATAGACTCTTATGAACTCTTTCGCGGTGACCGAGGATCTAAAAAGGGTGGTGGTTGCCTCATCTATGTATCTAAAGACATCAAAGCAGAAATGTTTTATGATACTGTTCTTAATCAAGTGCCTGATTCGATATGGCTGACTGTGCACGCCCATGAATGTAAAATACTGGTTGGATGCATATATCGAGCTCCAAACACTCGTCGATCGGTTGACGTTGCTATTGGTGAGTCGTTTGCCAGGGCTGCCTGTCTTAAATTCACCTGCAAAATTATTTGTGGTGACTTCAACCTCCCTGGAATCAACTGGCGGACACATTCCGGCCCACTACGATTTGATAGCTTACTTGGTCCCCTAGACACACACGGTTGGCAACAACATGTGCACCTGCCTACTAGGAACCACAACATCCTCGATTTGGTATTTTGTCACGATGTCACCCCGACATCTGTGTCTGTCTGCGAAACGTTTCACAACAGTGACCATAAAATTGTCCTCTGCACCCTTCCGTTTTTTGCTAAATGTGACAAATCTAAAACAGTAAACCGTTTTCAATACAGAGACTATAAACATGCTGACTGGGACAGCTT